CAATAGCAAGCCTAAAAGTAGCCCATTCCCCCCTTTTGCATAATGTGATATTCCAACAGCATTTTAGTTAAGTTTTTGACATAGTTTGGAGAATATAGTACATGTCCAAGATTTACAGATGACAGCATAAATGATCAATTAAGTAAAATTTGGCTGACAGGCTCTATATTTCAATAAAGAAGAAAAGAAATAGTAAAAATGGCTTTGAAGTAGCATTGATTGAAAAAAATAATTTTCACTGTTAAAAAGTAGTGGCAAGAATGTTCAGTATTTTTATAATTGATTGACACATGATATTTGCTTTCAAATAGCAAATTTAGCTATTGAAAACCAATATGAGCGATGATGCTGCCATTAACCCCATATTGGATAGAAATACAATCAAAAGGAGGCATTGATTGCTTCTTTTCAATCGGAAAGAAACATGAAGAAAAATCTGAAAGATAAAAATGCCAATTGACATCAAACAAATGGGGGCATCAAGTGCCAGTGGTAATAATATTTATGGGGATAAACAGCGGTTGCTGGAGGCCTTAATAAGGAATAAGATTTGAGTAGTTGTCACAAAGTTGATGGCCGGTGTGTCACATCTTTTTTTTTTTTTTTTGCTTTCTTTTTCTGTTCAATTTTATCGAGTTTTGTTTTGCTAGTATTAAATTTGGCTAGATCTTCCTCTGCAAACCAACAAATTACTAGGTAGTACTAGTACGAGAAGGAAAGTTGAAGAAAGAGAAAATGGGTTAAGAAAGGAACAAAAAAGTCAGTAGTACAAGGAAAGATACAATCCAATTCCAACCCAGGAAGCAAACAAAGTTCCTGTTTATTTGGAAATATTCAAAACTACACACACAACGACTCATGTTTCTTTCCCAAAATCAACTGTCTTTGCACTTTGCTAGAGCCGTGAAATCACCCTCCCCAAAACCCATACAAATTCATTCCTTTTTTCTAGCTGATGAGAGTTAAAAAAAAAAAAAAAAGGAGAGATTTGTTAAAAACATGGTACAGATGAACATTTTCCTCAAAATGGAGCTGTTGACGTTCGCTGAAGCGTGCGCTTTTTGGAAAGTTGAGCGGCTACAACTACGCTTAACTGCATGCCCCAAAATCAAAATACAAGCACAATTAATTTTGGCAATACTCAATATCAATGACTTTTTCTTTTAGAGGTACATATACTAGTATATGTATTCTTCACAGACCAATTATATTCAGCTTCTTCAAGTTCCTAGCATGTTTATTGTTGCCTTATTAGATTTTGGTGAAGCTAGAACAAGGTTCAAATATCAAAGAGGAAACACAAATTACTTGGCTGTCTGGTAATAAAAATAAATTTTCGCTTAAGTTACCTGTTCTTGTTTTCTCTCAAGTCTTGCATTCTCTTCCATAAGATGGGCAACTTCAAGCTCTAACTCATTTGTGTAAGCCTGCAAGAAAGGAACGAGACATTTTCAGAATGCATATTATAAGGGTAAAGATGTTAGCTAGGAAACTATATATTTCAGTATTACTCATGAAAACTTGTTATGGAAATGACCGGGAAAAAAAAAGGTACTAATTACCTGTTTCCTAGCTCTTGATCGCGCTGCGGACTCTCGGTTCATGATCTTACGCTTGTGCTGTCGGTCACCAAAACTGTTATCAGATTCTTGGATCCTTTTCTTACCAAACGAAGTCAAGGTAGAAGATGAAGCTAGAGCCTTGAATGGAAAATTGAAAGTGGATAAATTCGAAAAGGGGTTGCTTTGCAAACTCCTGCGAGGATCCGAGTTAAGGCTCAAAACAGTGTTAGGAGGTGGCACTGGGAAACCATAGAGCGTGGTCTCCCTGTTCGTGGAGACTCTATTTGTTGGTGGGTCTATGGTCGTAAAAGGTCTGGCGAGAAAATCCTGGAGGATAAGATGCGGGTTGTGAGGATTTGGGTTTACAGAAAGGCCTTCCCTGGAAGAGTGATCACTTGGAGAAGCAAGATTAATGTCTTTCCAAACCTTTTCCATGGTATTGAGTCTATTGGTTTGGTTGCGAAGATGGGAAGAAGAAAGAGATGAAGATGTTGATGATGATTTTGAGGATACGGAAGACACTCTATTTAGGCTTATTGTTGCTTTATTGTAGTTGGTGTCCTCCCCACCTGTTGATGACAACGTCGGAGGAAAAACAGAAGCTTTGTTGTTTAGAACTAGTGTAAACTGTAAGTTGATATCCACTACTATTAAAGCTCAGATTTAGAGAGACAGACAAAGACTGGGTGACCTAAGAGTTCTGGAGTGCTGATGATAGGAATTTTCTATGCCCCAATGGCTATGCTTTTCCTCGTGTCATTGGTGAATCAAAGCCAAAGGTGAGTACATTTTTGCCACGCGCCTCAAGCTGAACCGTTCTGCTTTGGCCATTCGGAGTTTCCGTTGTTGCGAAGGAGGCTGGATATTATATTTACTAATTAGAAAATTGCCCGACCATTACGAGGGAAGCAACTATTTTTTTTTTAAATAATTGAAAATAATTTATACATTTTTATGCTTTAAAAATATATTAATATCAACCAAATCAAATTTTGTTTATAATCATAATTTTTATTTTAAAAATAATTAATATCAAGGACATAATATTAAAAAAAATAAACTAACTCTTAATTACATAAAATGAAAACTCCACTCAAAAAAACTCCACATAACAACTCCAATAGAATAATTGAAAACAAGTAATTGATTATATAATTATAATTATTTAAATATTATTACCTTTTATTGCTTAGCATAAAACTTTTTTTTTAAATATGTTTAGCATAAAACCTAATTTTGTGTTGACCATAAAACTTTCATTGATGATTTTTTAAAATTTTTTTGACAAAATAAATATTCATAATTTATTATTTATTTACTCTTTCTTTTTCCATGACTGTCTTAAACTTTCTTTCTATATTTGTTTGTAATGTATTTTGGTTTCATTAAGTAAAAAAAACAAAAATAGCAATAGGTGTGCCACTAGCTGAAATTTGGCTCACATCAGGTTCGCTAACACCCCTTTTTTTTTTTAACCCAGTATTCATATTGTGTGGCTTAAATCTACCCTGGGTAAATATGCACAATAAATCACAAGAGCTATGCTATGTTAATGCTTCATATTCATAGCCATATATATATATATATATAGCTCACCTAATACCTCCTTACAATAGGACAATATATAGCAAGCCAAAATACTACAGATGATTATGTTATGATCGTAAGGAAATAAATTTGAGAGGATGAATAGTACAAAATTTGGTCAGTATAATAATTACACAATAACTGTCCCAAACTCACCATCTTTAAAAAGCATACTGGCTGACTGCAACTACAAAGTAAAAAACCCACTCCAGTCCACCATTCCCTGTTGAGCCAGCACTGTGTCATCCTCTCTTAACGCAACAATCATCAACTTTGTATTCTGTGTGAACAGTTAGGTCACCAACCTCAAATTGATGGAGTGCAATAGCGTGTTTAATCAAATCTTTGTGCAATTAGTTCAGCTAGTATAAGCACCAATGCACCATATAACTTAATCTTAATTAATTTAAGATTCAATATAGTTTATCTACCACTCATGCACTTAAATGTTTACCTAATGGAATGAACTTTCCTCAAGCATGCACCTAAAGGAACGACCGGCTTTCTTTTTACTAGCTTGGTATAAACGGTCAGGTAGCAGTAAGTAACCAATTATTGCTATGCATGCAAATTTTGATCAAGGGAAATTACGGGTTTATTTGAAAAAAAGGGAATTAGATACTAGATTGGTGGAATAAGAGAGGCAAGCACAGATTTAGTACTCTCTAATGCGGAGTTGTCTGATTTGATCGAGAGACCCCTCTTCTGCCTACCATCTTTGAGTTCCCAGAGAAACGCGTTATCAATCAGATTCTGATTCTTTTACCTTAGTATTGGTGACTGAATGTTCGCTTAAGGGCCACACCCTTTGGCCGTACGGTAATAGTTCAATGGATATTAACCGATGGATGCTCCCATTAAACGACGAAGCTCGTACAACGAGACAATCACGTGGTCTGCAGGCGAGTCCTTTGAAACAGTAGTAGGGCCAGAGCCCGCAAGGAAGGACCAATGGGCACCAACAATTACCATTTCAATGGGCTGTTGTTTCATGTGCATTGTTCAGCCACTTCCAGTTCTACCAACTTCCCTTCTTCTGTTTTTGCTATACACATGCCATGCAACACAGATCGGGAAAATCTTGCCTAAAAACTGAACCCCCAAGCCTTTAAAGATGCACGGTAGCTACAAATACTTAGAACAAGTGCTAGCAAGTCAATGAAAGTTACAAGTACAATCGAGCGGCGAATACACTCCTGCACTCCCCACCCCCCCTTCTTTCTTCCAAAAATGTTTTCTGACACAACCCTGCTATCACACTCTAAGCAATATGATGTTACCGCGCCATAGAGTAACACTATTCAAAAGCAGCAAAAGATTATTGAGTTTTGTCCGATACGTCTATTTTCTGAATCGATCCAAGAAAACTTATCATATAGTTTATAATATAATATATAACCAAATAGAATGATACCCTAATTTTGTTTAAACAACGTTGTACCATTATTCATTATCCCTTGTAAATAATTTTGTACAATCCACTTCTGAAGGAGGGATATTGCCGCTTTCTAAATATTCTTGCCATTTAAGCCATATGCAGAAATATCCCTTGATGCATCCAAAGTCCCCACACCTTTCACTAACTATACGCATGCATGCAGATTCTGCCGTAGGCTTTCTGACAAATGATTTGAAATTGAGCTCCCCAGACTATTGGATTCACGTAAAACAAAAAAAAAAAAAAACCCTTTGGTTGACAACGAGACACAATTGAAGAAGAATAACTAATTATAAAGCATCGTAGGATTTGAAGTCATCCATTGTATTGTAGGGTAAGCCACACAAACAATCATCAAACTACAGCTTCCGAATTTTACCCATCGGGGATCTAACCTTGCACGGAAAAATGGTGTGCTTGATCATGACTCAGTGAGCAACTTAATCTAATAGTTCATTCACATTAAATATTTGACTAATAGTGAATTAATGCCATAAGCACAGAGCATAAAACAAGACAGGCAGCAGAGATTAATAAATAATACTACTAGTAATGTTATTCTAGTGGAAGTAAAAAGTACCACAAGCCCCAAAACTTAAATCATACATCCAGTTGTAACTTTAATGGTTTGCCCAACAAATTAAGGAAACCTTTATGCAGCGAAAGCAAGTCCTTGATATAGTTGTATGAAAAAGTAAGCATATATAAAAAACAATTCTCGTTAAATGATATACGCCTTGAATGAAGGAAAGCATGTAACCATGAACAGAGATTTACCACTAGTTAGATGAGCTGGTGCTGGTGCTGGTGCTGCAAAAGATCCGTTCACCTTTCCCCCCCTCGCATAATATGTCAAGACATGAACCCATCAAGGACTTTGTTCTTTCAAAGTTTGTATACTTAGCCCCACAACAGGAGGCTATAGACCCCAAAGATTTTTATTTTTTTTAAAATAGCAGAGGGGCAGCAAATCAAAATTCCCCAGATTTAAACACCATGTACGCCACCACAAATAGTGAAGTATAAAGCAACATTCCCTCCACCCTTTAAAAAAAAAAAATGCAGCCACATCAATTTCATGCCACTAGCTCAAGTTTAAAAAGGTTCAAATTCTTTTATTTTTTTTTGAAATATTCTGTTTTTTTTTTCTCTTTCTAAAAGTTGTTTTCCTTTTGATTTTGTAAAGTTTTTTCTAAGTTGTGGCATGAGAAATCACATTTCATCATGCCAAGGCCGAACAACTATCTTCAAGAAAGGCAAGATAATCACCCATGGTGTCAAGATCATCCTCTGCTATATCTTCCAGGAACTTAAGCAAGAAAACGTGCATCAAACCACATTTAGCTTAATTTGAATTAGTCGCTGGACCACCCTGAGCAATGGCAGCTGTTCCCTCATTGCTGAATAGCTGTGACTGGTTATTGAAGTCCCCTGATGATGATCTACCTGACAGTCCATCAGCATAAGCATTTTCATGGCTCCTTGCACTACTCTGGTTAGCAATTCTCTGATCCAATGAAATATTCTGAACACAGGCCTCCAGCATATCCTGACCAGACATGGTAGGGAATTGCATAGAAGGCGGCATTATCCATCGTCTCCAATTATTCCGCTTCCTCACTTTGTCACCCTAAAATGCAAATGCAGAGGTGATTTAAAGAAAACAAAACCACATTATCCTAGTTATGTTATGTGGAGCTCAGTTCTTGCAGAACCATTAAGTAAGCAAAAATAATAACGGGCACTCTCTGTGTAATAGTGAATGTCTTGGAGGTGGTTCGGAGAAACATATATTAGAGGGAAGAGTTTCATTATTGATCAATGAGTGAGAAACATATAATCCAGGATTTCATTCTAGAAGATACCTGCACTTCCACGACTACTGAACTTTGAAGAGCATCCAGTATAAGCTGAATATTATCAGTCAAAAGTGAAACCTGAAAAGGAGAAGTCATAGAAAAATGTTTCCTTGGAATAGATAGCTTTAGAAATTGCTCTGGAAGAAAAAAAAATCCTACTACAAGCACATCCAACAGCTAAGATTGTGAGCTCAAATAGGCATAGCATCCTCATATATATTCAAGGAGAAAGATTCAAATTTTAGAAACCAACAAAGACATAAGCACGAAAGCTAGACTTCCAGAAGATAACAGTAGATTACTATAATATGTGGGACTAACATCTCTAGAAAGTGATGCTCACTACCTGACCTGGAAACTGGAAACCAAGAAAAACAGTTGTTGCACTGTGTTAATGCATGTTTACTTTGTTTTCAGAACACCACATACCTTTGGGAAAAGGTTTAAATGTTATATGAACATCCTATAGCATTAAAATGTAAGGGAAAATCTTCATGGAATGATGAGGTCAGTAAGTTTCCAACAAACAAAGCACAAATTTAAACAGTGAAATGAGAACATTGAATATCTTGTGCAGGCATGTTCCAGTTAATTTGAAATGTTATTAAGTTTATGATCACGTTAAGAATATGCTGTTTATTAATATTTCCAAATTGTTAAAAAAAAATAAAAACCCTAAACCATAACCACCCTTCATTAAGAATAATATAACTTATACCATCCAAAGAATGAGTTGGAACAAAAGCAAATGGAACGACTACAGGATCCAATGTACCTCACCATAAGGAATGTAGGCCAGGGCTTGTAAATCAAGTACCTCGAAAAATAGAGACTACTTCAACCAGTTTCTAAAGGGTGGGTGGGTGATTGGATGAGTGACGGGGGTGGGGTTGGGAAGAAGATATCCATGTATAGCAACACAATAATTAATCCATTGACTATATGATTATGAGTCAAATGCATCCTAATCTAATATATAAATATGCAAACAAAATGATAGCATGAGAAATTGTGATTCCTTCAGTATTTATACATGTAAATAGTCAATGGACACCTACCATACCACATTATCTTTGCAACCTAAATAAAAAGGCTGTAAGCCTTTATCATTTAAAACTATGTCTAGAAAGCAAGTTGCAAGAAAAAAGCATTAATCCTCACTCAAAGAGTTAGACAAATTGATCTAGTAATTAAATTCAAATTCATATGAAGTAGTTTTGTTTATGACCAGGAGAAAAGCAAAACATAATCAAACAAGAACAGTCAATACCAAATGAAAAGAGTAACCCAGCAATAAGAGAAGTTATAGGAAACATAAGTAGCATGAAATAAAACATGAAAAAGATTATTTAAAATTGTATATACAAGTGCATCAAGACAAGGTTCCGTTCATTGAAATTCTCTTGACCAGAAAATACAACTACCAATAACATTTCTCACAAATACTAGTCAAACAAAATATATCTTAAAATTTCCAGCAATATTGTATTAATAAGTATGATTGCATATGCTAAAAGTAAAAAAAACAAAAAAATCATGAACTAGCTCAACTAGCAGCAAGGGGGGAAATAATTGGGTTTGTTGGGATTTAATTCATTTTCTTAGAAATAGGAAAATAGGTTGAAAATCTAGCGGGTGAGTGCTTCTCAAAATCTAATTTCTAGAAACAATTCCATAAAACCCTGAAAAGTGCAAACTCTACAGATGTTTTCACCATTATCCAAATTTTTGAAAATGTTTATGTGGAGTATCATCATTTCAAGGAGTATTAAAGGCACAGGTAAAATCTCACTCCTTCACATCTGTGTTATAATGAGGGTGATGGCCTTACTTTATTCTCATATCTTTCTTTTCCCCTCAATGATTTCTAGAAAGCTCCTCTCCCCCCATTAATGTACATATTTATTTTCCTACTGTCAAATCTTCAATTAAAATTGGTTTGTCTTAATGATTACCATAAACCACATAGATGATAATAGACTTGCCACAATAGATAACAGATGAGTCTAGTAGGCATAGATGTCATGAACTAACGATGATGCTAAAGCATCAAACTCCATCATCATGAAAAGATCTAAGCACAGGAAGTACCACAATCACATAAATTAACAAGATCAAAAGTCTTCAAAAAACTCACCATTTTGAAGCCTGCTATTAATTTAATAGGAACCCAGCCCTGATCATCCATGTTCTTCCGCAAGTATGTATCCGTAATTAGATTTTCATCACTGCAATAAAGAAACAGGCAGTCATCTTCTTGTGTGACCTAAAATACCTAGATATGGCCATTGAATTAACTAAGTTGACCTAAGTTAACATGCAAACAAAGCATTACCTGAAATAATAATCAATCTGATTCACTATCCTGGCATGCAACTGATGGTCTTGAGGCTCTGGAGCAGGGAAAAACGCTGGGGGCATTGGTGCAACAAATGGCATACCTCTAAGCGACTCTGGAGGAGGTGATGGGACTAAATAAACATGAGATGCCAATTCTGAAAGAAGATGGAAATATTAGTGCAAACTCAGAATACCACTCTTGCCCAACTAAAAAGAACAACAATAAGAAAAGTACAGCTTACCAGGAAACCCCATGGGAGTGCCAAAAGGCCGCACAGGCGGGGGTGCAATAAATGGTGCAGTATTTGGAGGTGGAGGTGGTGCTGGGTGCCTCATTAACCTGGGAACAACTCTTGGCTGCACGTGACCATCCCTATTATTAAAGTTCCGACTATTCCAATCCTGATTTCCATGGTCTCGATTGCGCCTGCCTCCATAATTCTGATGGGGAGAACCATCTCCTCGTGGATGTGGACCACCATTACGATGTCTGAATGAATTACGTGGGTTTGGGTGATCATTACCACCACTATGAGGCTGTGACACAAATCCACTTCTCTGTATGTGGTCCCTAGAAGAAGGGCTATTCAAAGGTGCTTCAACCGCAGGACCTTGAGGCAGTGGCTGCGGGAGGCCACCATTAGATGCTAAGTTATTACCATGCTTCATTGACCTTTGGCGTGCAGGCATTGCATGGTTTGGATTCAAATTTGAATTCAAGGTTGCACTGACTTGTTTCACTGAAGACGATGGTGATGCACTTCCACTCCCCTACAATTTCCACAACATAGCAAAACCATCAAGACTAAGTGGCCTCAAGAATTCAAAATTAAACAAAATTACATCATATGTAAATTTGCACAAGCAAATCTAGAATACACCGTATATTCATACACAAAATCCATTATTCAGCTTCCTTGAAATGAAATTTAATTGAAGTAAACCATACAGTTGAAATAAGGACTTAAGATTCCTTGCATTTAATCTCTTTCTAATCAAACAGATAACAAAACAAATTGGAAAACTAATTTCATTTTAATTCAGTTCAGTTAAAACAGTTAATTCAACAATTTAACAGTTAGTAATAAAATACTCGAAATGGTAACAATTAAATTCAAATAAAAGAATCTATAAAGAATGGTTTAAATTCTTGGAAAACAAACGTGAGAAACGGACAGCAGAAGGGGATGACGATCCATCCGATGAAGCTCTGGGTAAATCCGAAGAGGATTTAGAAGAAACCCTAGCGGACTCAGACAAAGCAGGCCACAAGTGGGCCCCCATAACGGCCCCAAACTCGGCAGCGCCGTTGGAAGGCTTGTTCCACGCCGGCCTCTTACCGGCATTGCCATTGGGCCCAGCAGTCCCATTCTCCACGCCTTCCTCTTCGCCCACCGGGGTAACAGTTGGCTCAATCACAACCATTGATGGTGACAACGAAGAAGAGGCCGAAGGCGATAAAGGAATACCGGCGATTGGCTCCGATTCTCCACGGACGTTATGTGTCCAGGGTGAAGAAACCGCCCTCGTGGCACGATGTGATTGATTAGGGCTAGTGGGAGAGTGATTAACAGCTGTCACTGCAGCGGAGATATTGAAATTAGCCGTATCAGTATTGGCAGCCATATCAAACCCTAATTAAACAAAATTGGATTTCCCTTTCCTTTTTAAGCCGACAAGTTGATCGACGAAGAAAAACACTAAAAAACGGAGAACAAAATTTCGATGATAAAATAAAATAAAAAAATTGGGAGGAGAAAAAGAAAAAGTGAGAGTTAAAATTCAAGGTTTCGAAAATGCAAATTTAGGAATTTTCCAAAAAAATTAGGGATTCGATGATCCGATCTGTGAAGAGAGACGAAGGTTAAAAGAAGAAGAAAGCGATGGAGGCTTCTATAGCCTCTGCTTCTCTCTCTCTCTCTCTTTCTGTTTTTCTCTCTTATTATTTATTTATTTTTATTTATATTTGTGTGCGTCTGTTGATGCTTCCTTCATCTGCTTGCTTAACTATTGGGTTCCTGGTTAGTTGTTATGGTTTTACGGTATTACCCTTGAGTCCAGCATTGTTTTGGTCAATTTAAAGGTTAAGTGGGGTAATTTTGCACTGTAAAAAGTAATTAGGGTTTCCACTTACCTAGTTGGATTGGCAATATGATTCAGTTACCTAGTTTTTTGCCAGGTTCCCATTGTTTTCTGAAGTTGAATCCAACATAAATATGACACGTAAACATAATAAGATTTGTGATGGGGTAATATTGATAATTCATAATCTTGTTTCTAAGATTCTTTATTAACAAATAAATTACATAAGGTAGATGATTTTACTCTGTTTTATATATTTGATAATTTAATTTTTTAATTTAAAAAAAATTAAAAAATTATCACATGTTTTTTTATTTTATTTTTTGTTATACTCAATATGTGTCACTTTATTTAGAAATTTTTAAAATTTACTATTAATAAATATGATAAATTTTCTTTTATTATTTAAAGTAATTTTGATTCAATTAGGCTTATGATTTTGAATGAGAATGAAAATTTTATAATTTAAAAAATTAATCAAGCTTAATGATGTTGATGACAATTATATTTAATTGATTTCAGTAAAATAATATATTAAGTATAATTTTTTATAAAATACATAGGAAGATTTTTTAACGAAGATTCCTAGAATATTTTTTGAAGATTCAATAAACAATTCAAAATTCAATTTAAAAATAATTCATAAAATTTAGTGGAAGGCTTGTTAAATTATTGGTTAAGGAGTGTTAAAAAGGCTTCAAATTGTAATATCAAACAAAATGGAATCTATTTAAGGATACACGTAAAATGAAAAAAAAAAAAAAGTCACAATCTAAAATAAAAGAAAAACATAAAATAAAAAAATCATAAAAAGTCATAATTTGCAATAAAAATAAAAAATTGTAAGTGTTACAAATTGATTTTCAAATTTGTTGATCACCTATTAAAGATCATTACATAAAACAATCAATTAAATTATGGGTTTTAAAATTAAAAATCTTGTTATATATATATATATATATATATATATATACACACGAAAGGATAAAAATAGCATTTTCAAATTATAAAAAAAATCATAATGTGTTTTTTATTTGAGAGATTATATAGTATTAATGTGTAGACATACTGTAGTAATATAAGTAAATATATATTAATCTAAAAATACACCATTTACAAGAGAGGAGTGTTTCTTATTTGATAAAAATAATTGTATTAGAAATATGAAATTTAATTTAATTGATTTAATAATTTTTAAATAACGTCATTTAAGGTAAATGCATTTTACTTACAATTTTTTTATTATTCAACTACAATAAATAATTATATAAAAGTCCACAACTTATAAATATAGATTTTAATACAATTTTAAATTATAATCGATTAATTATAATACAATAAATATAAATGATATGTTTCTTATTTAATAAATTTGATATTTGAATCTTAACTATTATAATTTTTTTATCTTTAAATTATGATTTTTTTATAATTATATTAAGTCATAAATTCTCAATATTTTTATAATGTGACGTTTGCTTCTTCTTTTTTCTTAAAACAAATCTCCTTTTTTTTTTAATTTATGAAAATAAAAATCAAATAAGGGGCAATTTTGTGGAGTTGGTCGTTGAGTTAGCTCTCACCTCACACTTGCTTTCCTTGTTAAAGGAAAAAAATGTCAAAGGGTCCATTCAGATTTGGGCCAGGCGTGATGAATGTGGAAGAAGAAAGACATCATTTGATGTGAGATTGTGAATGTCCATCAACATACGGGACTTGGCCCAAATTGTGGATCCATATAACTTGTCATAGATTCTTGCTTGATAGGAATATGTCAGAGGAGCGTCAGTATTTTTCTCCTTACCTTTCACATTTCTTAGTAACATAATAATAGGGTTAAAGTCAAACATGTCACTATATCATAATTCACCATTGAATTGGGATTTTGATTTAAGTGGGCTGGGCAAGGTATTAATTTTTGATGGTTTATCAACCAAATTTATTAAATTGGCAGAAGAAAGGATGGACATGATGAACTCCAAAGATATTTTTTGAGAGTTGGAATTTCCTTTTGGAATTGTTGGTGGCTTGCTGACCAGTGAAAACCAGATCAATTTTTTTAAAAATAATTTTGCTAACTAGTGTTTTAATGAAATTTTTACAATTATGAATTACTTTATACATTAGTCAAATATATGTATAATATAAAAAATTTATAATTAATAATATATTATCAGTCAATAAATTTTATACATTATTAATAAATTAAATAACGTTATTGTATTACTATTAATGAAATGATATCATTTAATTTATTAATAATATATAAAATTTATTCAGTATATCAAATATAAATTTATAAAATAATGTTTTAATTTTAGAAGTATGTCTGAAACATTGTTTCCATTTTCATGGTCAAGGATGATCAGACGGTGATTTTATACAAATGTTGTCTTATCGTTAAAGGTTTGAGCAATGCATCCGAATGAAGTTTATTTTCAGGCTTGGTTTCCTTTTGATTAGATAGGACACAAATGGGCTTTGCCCATTCTCATCACCAAACTTTTGGGCATTAATTGTTCTGTCTGTCACATTGTCTCTGCAAATGGATCCAATGCATCAGTCGAAAGCTTATTTATTCTGCCTAGCCATAATTGCAAAAGCAAGAAGATCGCAACGTTGTTTGAGAAAACGAAGGTACTCCATCAATAGATAGTTGGAAAATCGCACCCATGGAAAATAGTAGAGATGGCCAAGTTCACAAGCTACACGGGAAGGATTACGTAGACCCGCCACCGGCTCGCTTGTTGGACATGGGAGAGCTTAAGAGCTGGTCCTTTTACAGAGCTCTCCTAGCTGAGTTCGTTGCTGTCCTTTTATTTCTTTACATCTTAGTTGCCACTGTTATCGGTCGCAAAAGGCAAACAGGCCCCTGTGATGGTGTTGGTCCTCTTGGTATTGCTTGGGCTGTCGGTGGCATGATCTTCGTTCTCGTCTACTGCACCGCCGGCATCTCTGGTAACCATAAACATTCTGCTTCACTAAGACTTGGCTTTTGGCTTTTGTCTTTTGTATATTTATTTCCGTATCCCCACCTTCTTGAATGCGTTTACCGTACGTGCTTTTTCCAGAATAGTCATTTGCATGGTTAAATTCCAGCACTTGAACTGTTATTAAACTAAAGTATTTAGTGAATCAATCAAGCTATTCTACGAAGTAGAGGACATATTGACTTGAAAACTATGCTCTGTGTAATAGCATATAGACCACGCTTTTTTTTCATTTTCTTTTTTGATCTAATCTGGCTAAAAAAGATGGATATATGATTAAATTGGTTTCAATGAACATGAGAGTGGATCAAATGTAAACTCGTTGTTAAACAGGTGGTCACATTAATCCGGCTGTTACGTTTGGGTTGTTCGTGGCCCGGAAGGTTTCATTGGTTCGAGCGGTGGCCTACATGGTTGCGCAATGCTTGGGAGCTATTTGTGGCGCAGGTTTAGCAAAGGCCTTGATGAGGAACTCCTACAATAGACTAGGGGGAGGTGCCAACTTCGTGGCTCCTGGTTACTCAAAAAATACCGCTTTGGGAGCAGAGATCATTGGCACTTTCGTCCTTGTCTACACCGTTTTCTCCGCCACCGATCCCAAAAGAAACGCACGTGACTCCTATGTCCCTGTGAGTATTATAGTAGAATATAAGATTAGTACAAGATCACTCTTTTTTAGTGCTGTTTTTCTGAAGCTTTTGTATATGAGTTAAACAAAGCTTCCGGGTTTATCTGAAACGGTTTTGTTTAGGTGTTGGCTCCCCTGCCAATAGGCTTTGCTGTGTTTGTGGTGCACCTGGCCACCATTCCAATCACTGGCACTGGCATAAACCCGGCTAGGAGTCTTGGTGCGGCTGTGATCTACAACAATGAAAAAGCCTGGGATGATCAGGTTTATAGTTAATTTCATTTTTCACCATATTGTTATACTAGTATTGAATATTAACTTCTGAGGGTTATTTGTGTTCATTGGCCCGTGATGGTGATGAAAAAAGTGGATATTTTGGGTTGGACCTTTCATTGGAGCGCTTGCTGCAGCAGCATATCATCAATACATACTCAGAGCTTCCGCCATTAAAGCTTTGAAATCCTTCCATAGCAACCCTACAAATTAAAGCCCTAGTCTGGTCCCCCAGGACCCTGGCTCCGTAGATGCTGTCTATGTATATTTGTTTTAGATAATTTATATGTTTTTCTATGTGTTCTCTCAGTGTTAGCACTTGTTAATTATAAGTTGTAACTCGTAACATTACTGGTTGAACTTTTTGTTAAATGGTTCTTGAAATAAAGGGAAAAAAGTCAGTGGAGTAGGTATGGAAATATGAATACCAGGCTTCTCTAATTAATGTATCGCGACCGACATGCTGAACATTCCTGCCTATTTTCTTTTGCATGCCTTGTATTGGCTGCCAGCCGAGCCTTGGGGCTTTTTTTTTTCTTTTTATTAACGAAGTTGGGGAACTCATTTTCTTGCATTAAAAGACCGCATTTCCTGGCTAGACGCCCCGCAGATGCCCTTTTCAGTCGTGTAATCTAGTGACTTTCGGATTTAACAATATAGTATAAATCTATTTATTTGAGTTGGCAGTGAAATTAACGTTGGAACAATGATGAGAAACTACGGAGACCGCTGATATGTCACCGGTAGGCTGATCAAAGTGTGGAGATAGGAAGTATTTCATAATGGCAGAGCAACTCTTACCCCTACAGGCTACAAGGTTAAGGTCAAAATGCAATGCTTTTGGATGCACGGAAAAGGAGCTCCCAGATAAGTTAGTGACACCGACTAAGGTCAATTGATTAAACAGAGAAGAGACAAGGAGGAAGACCCCATATATGGATTATGCCAAAAATCCCACTATAACATCTTGTCGGGTACTCTGTTTGCACTTTAAATGCATCCGATCCAGCTACATAAGCAGCCCTTGATAATGTGCATTTCAACTTTCCCATGAGAATTTAGATACTAGTGGTTTCAAGAACAAACTAAAGCTGTTGTTGTAGAAGTAGATAGAGCAGAGGATTCAAGAAGACAAGGAATGATTGCTTAGAGGCAGATCCATGAACCATTCACAATTCTGGCGCCAGTCAAATTCAATTCCACATATTTCGTAGAGGTGTAAAATAGAGATCTATTTAAAGAACCCACCTAACGCTGCCCGAGTTTCCTACATATTTAACAGGTCAGCAAAGTGTATGGTACAGCCCTTCCAGGCTGCCTTGGACCATTTCTTTTATTCAACTAACTTAGAACAGGTCTTTCCCTCAGACTTGCTTGCGCACCAACCCATACTACATGCCACCCAGTTACGGCTGGATCTCTGAAAGAGCAAAATACTATTTCTACGGACAATGTCAAAAAGTTGCTCCCCACAAAATATTCCTCCATCAAAGATTAGCGGTACTTCAAATCTTCCTCTCTCATCTGCTGTGATTAGGTTGTATATATGCTTCAATGGGATAAGGATCCAACATTCTATTTATGTAAATACAAATGCAACTTCGTTTTAATATTATTATCAATCTGGCACTTCTAGGTTATGCTAAGTTCAATCATTCATGGATAATGCCATGTCTGCCATTCCCCAGCTCTTGTAATCTGACAAGCACTTTCATAAATAAGCAAATCATTAGCATAGCTTAAACAAACTAAATAGATCACAAAAGCCTAGGAGAAAACTGGCATTTGCACCACAGTTGAGTTCAATCTCAAAGGACTACACGTCTTATAATGGTAAAAGTAGGACAGGACAAGGGATGAACTCAGCCAGCAGATTTGCATCCACATGCTTGGAATGGATGGCTTCCATGCTCATAACCACTAGATCCAAATTCAGGTCATCAGCAACTTCACCAATGATAGCAGTAGGCTTGCTTCCTTCCCCAAGTCGCTCCAACAACTTGAATTCCTGAAATCCACCTATCGTTTTCTCACATAAGTTAAGCACCTAGTCAGAAAAATGCATTTAAAGAAAATAGAAATGTCAAAATAAGCTACGTTACCACAACCCTAGTTTCATGTATATGTTGTACTTTTAGTTGCCAATCAGAAAACTTTTGAGGCACATCCATGTGATACACAAATAATATAGGCAAATATATTGTACCAAATACTACCAATTGTATCTAATTTGGGATGCACATTCCAGGGAAGCAAGACCAAAAAATGCCCAAAGGACCATTTCTCGATGAAACATTCTACACATCTATCTTGGGGTTATGACATTAATTACATTGTACATCTCTATGCAAGGTGAATTTCCGTTGGCCCTGAGCCAATGTCTGAAGCATTATGTTGCGAACAACGGTATCAGACGCATAAACAAAAACCAGCATGCATGAATTTTCGCAAAATTTAAGACTGCATAGAATACATACCTTCAGAGAGATGCCAGCGAATGCTAGCCAATTGAGTTTCATGCTCTGGCAAAGCCTCTTTCTGTTTTTCATCAATAACTGCAACGTACATAAAAGTTCTTAGTTCTTGAAATCTTGCTTTAACTATATATGTTCTTTGATCATACATACAAAATGGTACGGACAAAGGACAGTACACATACCCACAACAGTAATGTCAGCCTCATACTTCTTTGCCAAAGCAGCAGTTGTTGCAGCTGCCTGCTAAAAAATTTTGAACCAAAGAGTGACGACCCAAATGCAAATAAGGATTGGGCATCTTAAATATACCATTATTTATTTGGAAGAATTAATAACTGATGCTCTAAAACTGAGGGTGTTTATGTCTTTTTAAGGTCACCTGTCTTGTTCCTTCCGAAAGATAAGGATTCCTGTCAGCTATTGGCAGAAGCAGATGTTTGAAATGAGTAAATGCATCTGCTGCCAAGTTCACTTCAGATTCTTCGGGCTTAGCCTTTGCTGTTCACAATTAAACCAAAAAAAAAAAAAAAATCAAAATTCCTGAACTCCACAAGCATTCGGCAAACTCAAGAACACTAAATCCAACAGTGTAATAAATATCAAAATCAAAAAAATAATAAAAGAAGTCACCTTTGGGTCTGATTCTACGAATTCTGGGAACATTTCGAGTTTTAGAAAACAGAGAAGAACTGAAAGCTAACGAAGACAGAGACTCAATAGACGAAGAAGGAGAAGAAGAAGAAAAAGGGAGAATTGAAGTTTTTGCGTGCTTTGAGGTATCGATTGGAACTGCAACCAAATAAGGAGCAAAAGCCATCAGAGTCAGTGAACAGAGAAAGAGAGGAGCAGTGAGTTGACGACGATTCCAGAAAGTGGCAGAAAGCAATTACAAAGTTAAGTAGTAATATAATAATAAATAAAATAAAATAAAAATCCGAAAAAAGAGAGAAAATATTCTTACATTCATATTTTATAATGGGATAATGTTATAAGAGAAGTTATGTAATGCATGCTTTGTGAAATTTTTTAATGGGTTGACAGGAAGATATATATATGTATTATTTTTTTAAATTAATTGTTTTATTCTTTGAATAAATATAAAAAAATATGTATCATTTTATTAATTTTTTAAATTAAGAATTTTCATTATTATTGTATTTGATAATATATTATATTATAAATGGCTATAGAAGTATATTAAAATATGTGACACTTAAAATTTAAAAAAGTTTAAAAAATTATTTAAATTGTAAATTTATTAATTAATATAATACTTAAAAAATTATTTATTTATTAAGTATTATCATCTAAAATTAATTATATTAAAAGTAAATATTATATTAATTAATAAATTTAAAATTTAAATATTACATTAAAATTTTTAAAATTTAAATATTATATTAAATATTTTATTATAATTTAAAAATTATTCATAATATTAATCTTTTTATAATTAAAGTTAAATAAAATATAGTCTTGTTTTTATAAATATTTTTTATGTTTAAATTTTAAAAAATAATAGAAAAGAAAAGTTTTAAAAAATAAAAAACAAAAAAAAATTTACTAAACAAAATTAATAGAATAATATTGGCACACTTTCGGGAAAAAAAAAAGAAAAAGAGAGAGGCCAGACATAAACAGGATTGGTAAATTCAATATTTAGCAGTCCAAAACTAGAACTGAAATGGACTTCCAAAAGAGATGTCAGGTAAATTCAAATGAAGATAACCCCATACCCATAGATTTCAACTGCGAAGCCCTTTGGTTTCCAAAGGTCGGGTCGGGATACCACAAAACAAAGATGCCATTGGAGCTCTCAGAAACATGTATGATGTTTTGAAAAGGCAGGCAGCTCGGAATTGTTTTCTATATAACTTAGAATCAATCATTTCTTACAGCCTCCTGGTGTTATTATGCCACTAACATGAATAGAAAAATAGGGAGCTAAAATCGCTTCCGGTAAACCTGAAGCATTCAATACCTATGGCTATGGTACAGGGACGACGTGGGCGGGAGGGGGGGGCTCTGATAATGATTCAATTAGGCCAGGACTGAGAGCAATTGTGAGTGCATAAGAGAAAGTTTTCATCCGGGGTGATTGATTGGTCGTGGTTGGTGATGCCCTTGAAACATCAGAATTATTACCATTTCCTTTTCCTGCTGTGGCTCCAGGATTGTCTGAAAGCAATAGCTGGGGGGGGAGGGGGGCTGCAGTTGCTGGCTTGACTCAAAGTGTTAAGAGGCCTCAATATCATAACGTGTAGTAATCAGATCTCATTGTTAGAGATTTAAGAGATCAATTGGACGCATAGAACGCACAGGAAACAGAAGACATGTTACTCAAAGTCAGATGATTTCCAGCCCAGTGCCATCTTCTCAAGATCAAAGACTCTACGATGACACAGTCATGTACTTTTCTGGATTGAATTTAATAAAATTGTAAGAAGCAATCAAGCATTTTATTGAATGCGCACAAAGGGAACAAAATGAAAAACATCGACTCAAAGCATCCAGAAACTAATGGTTTTAAATACAACTAGACGAGAGAAGCTACATCATTTTATGGTTGAGGAGATTTAGCAACATTCGATGCCAATGTTTGGAAGCTATATTCACTTTTTACTAAATCTTCACTGTTATCAGGAGTTGTATCTTAGAAAGGCATAAGCTGCTGCTAGCAGAAAATTGGATTGCAAAGTTGAAAATTGAAACATATTGGACAGAAACTGAGTCAGGCTTTGTTGGACAGAGTTATTCCACCAGAAATGAGCTAAATTTTGTATCGTAGCTACATATATGATGATATGAAAGACAATAATGTTTGTGTGTCCATGTTAAAAAAATACAACAATAAAAATGAACAGATACCTATCCTTTGCTAAATGCTAAAAGGAAATGAAAAGATATGGACAATAGGCAATGATACAATCGCATGTAGAGCCTAATGAAGCCCGGATCAATTTTTATCATCTAAAAAAAAAGGAGGTTTGCTAAACCATGGCATACACTATGAAACAGGTAAAGGTATTTTCATTGCTATTTCTATGAAGATAAAGGAAAGATATAGCCTAAATATGCTATAGCAGGGGACTGTAACTGGCTTCAGAAAGTAGCCAAGAATGCCCTACAACAATAGAGGCAAAAGGAAGACAACTCCAAAGAATGACAGAACTGAAACATAGGGATGGCAAGATCGCAAGGCAACTGAAGTGCGAGAATTGTTATTCCTGATATCTTTTGTTGATTCTGGGGTAGAATAATTATGGATTCCAGCAGCAGAAGTAGGAGGTGCAGAGGCAGGATGTGATTCTACTTCGGATGTTTTAGTTTCAACATTGTAACCTGTATGAAAGCCAATTAATTCTGTATCCAAGGTCAAGATATTAAAGCATAGGGAAAATTATGTTTATGAATAAAAGCATCACTTACAATCAAACTTCTTCCAGCCTAAGACAAATCTTTCTCGGTCAAACACCACACGGTAGCCGGTCATAAAGTTTTCTGTTTAGAGGAAAGAACAGCCAAATAAGCAAACACGTAAATCATAGAGAAATATAAGTCATTAAGAAGATGATTTTGATTCATCATCTACAGTCTGTAGAGAACTGATTTAATGAGCCTCATTAAATCAAGCAATGAGAAATTACGTTTCCTAATTCACCTCTCTTCATTCTTTAATGCAGACAGCCAGGCAATAGATAAACCAGATTCATATGTGGTATTTTTCAGTGAGATTATAAGCACAAGAAATCCTAGAAATCAAGCAAATCAAGGTTTGTCTTCTCATCACTTCGAACTTAATAACATAGTGGAAGCACTCAATTAATCATATGCAATATGCAAGACTTACGTCCAATAATATTCAGTTCTGTACTCTTGATGACAGCCAAGCAGTATACAAGTTTAATCTGCAAATCATTAGAGATCAAATTGTTGAATGCAATTTTCAATGTAAAGAACAAAAAAAAAAAGTCCAGGAGCAGGACACCACCTGAGTGGAAATGACAATTATTGGGTCATACACAGGAAAGTGACTACCACCTTTCATTATTAAACTCATACTAGGTATTAAACTAGCATTTGCACCAGGGCTGCATGCCACAAAGAAAATGATAAGATGTACAGAATTCAACCTAAGTGGAGAAAAAAAAGATATAAACAAGACTAAACAATGGACCTCATATCATAACAGTACTCAAAAGGGATCCTTGGATCAAGTGGGTGCCACCTATCTAGTGCCTGAGAATGGAACTGTAAAAGAGCATAAATTACTAAGTTTTGACATCAAGTATGAACTTTCATTGGTTTTTAACATATGAAGTACTTACATTCTTAGCAACATTTGAATATGTTGGGTCAACCAAGTATGTAAACGAGGTCCCAGAATCAAAAAGAGCAGTAAAATCACCACCAATTAAAGTTGTCCCCACCCGAATTTGAGTTACGGTAATGTTATAGGTTGGACTGCAGGATAAATCATGATTATTTGTAAAATAAGATAAAAAGTTCCAGCAACAAATATATCAATCTATATTTACAGATGATCAGCATCAAGTAAATGAGAAAATTACCACTTACTGTGATGGGTTAAGATTAAATGGTGTCTCTTCCTGGTCAGGACTACCTTGGTCTCCAAAACTGATTGTTCCAACTCCATCATGTCCAAAACACATGGAGAAAGAATCAGTTGTTAAACCTTCCTGTGATAAAATGCTAGGAACTGCTATCTTCTCCATACCAAGTCCAAGCAATCCATTGGGAGCTGCAACATCGAGGAATGAACCGCTTTGTACCTGCCCACAGCTGCACAATTCATATTGCATTTTCATCTGAACCAAGACAAGAGTTTGGGAAGCAAAATATCGGCTATGCAGATCCCTTCAAATTAAGGAAAAATGCAAGAATAAGGCATTCAAACTGGTTAAGCTGAATATTAAGAGAGCTTACCCAAATGTGACATATGCCTCTACGAATTTTGCATGATCATCTTCAGTTGTTAGGTGAAGAACATCCTCCACTAGAACGCCAGAAGTAGAAGTTTGAGCCGACATGTAAGACACCATGTAAGGACAATTACTGAATGTTCCAAGACATTGGTTACGGTGTGCACACAAGCTGCTGTTGCAGGTGACCTTTTTGTTTGTCGATGATCCTTTAGGGTCGTATATACTAAGCTCAAAATCCTGCCACCAAAAATAATGCATAGTTTAATATCAGTACAGGGACAACTAGTGAGAGAAGTGATTGACACACCTAGCCGGTCAACTAGAAGCCCTACTCATACTTTTCCCACTGGCCCAATTTAGTGCAAAAGTTGGATTCTTAGAGCATCCTATGGGGTCATTTAAACAAAATGAGATACAGTTTCGACTGTTAAATGAAATACTATGCTTCTTTGGACTATATAATTTGACTTCCAAAATGATCAAAGAAGAAGGATCTGAGTGCAAAATTTTGCAACAAACAGACAAATTCGAAACAGAGCTGCATTTATGGGGACAAGTTGAAGTAGATTGTTAGAGTTCCAAATGCAGTAGGTGCATGAAGAAAAGGCCAAGAAAACATAAAAATTCAGAATATAAAATAAAAAAGAAAAAAGAAGAAAACATACAGAAGCATAAGTAGTTCCTTCGGTTGGAGCACATTTGGTACAATCACAGGGCACCCATAAAAGATCACTCCCTGTATCAAGTGCCACCATGAACTTCACCCCTGGAGTCCCCAATTGCACTGTTGTATAATGTAAACTGCACCCAAAAAAAAATTTCCAAACAAGATTTTGTAAAAATATCAACTTAACCTACAAAACCCCAAATCTAAAACTTCTCAGAAGATACAAAAAAAGGGCAAAAAGATCCTTACAATCCTAAAGAGCTGATCTGAAAAGTGGAGTTACCATCAGAGAAAGAAAGGGTTGCATTGATATCAGAGAGTTTGCGGCCGCGGAGGAGGCGATCATGGTGAGCCAGAACGGCGTAGTATTCAAAAGAGCCTTTTACAGGCCAATGAGAGAGCTTTCCAGTGGCGAAGGACCAGTTCTTGACGGGTTCAGAGAAACGGTGGAGCATCTCGAAAGTGAAGATGCGGCGGCGGCCATAGCTGAGCGTAAAGCTTAAGACCCAGATTAGCATCCAGAAGAAAAAGACAGTCTTTAACAAAGACAACATCTTCTTCAATGGTTATTTGAGAACTCCAGTGGAGATTCTAAAAAGATTTGCATTTGGAAAAAAGCAAATTGGAAGGGAAAAACTGAAAGAAAAAAGAAAATATTGTCTTTGGATCTTGGGTTGCTTTAGTTTCGAAAGAGAGAAAATTTTCTCAAACCAAACAGAGCCTTAGTATTTTATTAGTATTTTTTTTTTCTGTTCAGAGGATCTGAAGAAGTGTGGTTGTTGTTCTTGCCGTTGCAGTTGGAAGTGAAAGTGTAGCGTGCATGTGGACTAGGGTAGGGCCTACCTTCTTCTTTTATGACAGTTAAGGACGCTGAACTTAATTTTTGAAAAAATTTTTTAATCTGATTTTAATTTTTAAAAACTTAATATTTTGAATTTTGTAATAAATTTTTTAGTTTTTTAAAATATTAAATGTACTTTTTTAATATTTTAAATATTTAAAATTATTTTTTGAAATCTTTTTATTTTTTAAAATTTAAAATTTAATTTTTGTTTTTAACTATTTAGGAATTTTTAGGAATTTTTTTATATTTTTAAAATTCTTATATATTTATACAAAATTTTTTATATATTTTCCAATAGTTAAGTAAAGAAAAAAATTATTAAAAAATACATATCATTAAAGTTTCTTCTATTTTAATATATTTAAAGTAAAGTAGCATAAAAATATGAGATAATATATTAAAATAATGAAGCACAAAGAATTTTATATTTTAATTTATTCTTTTCTTGAATAAGATAAAAATATAAAAAAATTTAAAATTTATAAACTTTTTTAAAACATAAAAAATTATAAAAATTTTCTTAAAAACATAAAATTAAAAAAATATGGAAAGTTTTATAAAAATTCTCACAAATTAACTATTTAATTAAATAAAAATGTTAAATTTTAAAAAATACAAAAACTTTTCAAAAAATGAAATTAAAAATATTAAAATATTAAAATAATAAATTTAATATTTTAAAAAATCTAAAAAATTTATAAAAAATTTGAAATATTAAAATTTTATATTAAAAAGATTAAATTTTAAATTTCATATAAATACAATGATTAAATTTCAAATTTCAAAACAAAAATTTTGTATAATTTAATAATTAATTTTATTCATTTAAATTATCATGTCAACAAAATTAATGCATACATTAATATTTTTAACAATAAAAAATTGATCAAGTTAGTGATTAATTATAATTATTAATTCATAATAATACAAAAATTAAATTTATATGAAATAGGAAATAAAAATTAAATTTTCAAATTTGACAATGTATAGAAACCTTCGACATAATTTAACCTAAAAAAATACAGCATTATTTATTTTTTTATAATATATGCTACTCTATTAGAATTTGCTATTAAAGATTTTAATTTAATATTTGGACCGTCGGTGTTTCTCTTTGTTTACCTATTTTTTTTTAGTATGTGATTTAGCTTTTGAATTATATTTTTTTCATGATTTAATGTTTATAAAAAAATTATCATTAAGTACTAAAATTATATTTTTATAAAATATTTTATTTTATAAACAAATTCTATTAACAATAAACTGATATAATAAAAAAATCCATAATATATTTTTATTGATCAATATTTACCATATTAATAAAAAAATTGACAAAAACAAAATTAGATATATAATCATTAAAAATAATATAGTTGAGAAAGTAAATTACATATTAACCCTTTCCTTTTCTTCGGTGATACGTATGTATGCGGAGCCCATGGCTGCCCATATGCATTGCTGGCTATCAGCCGTCGCTTTGTTCGTTTTCTTTTATAAGCCTTTCCTCTACTGAGAAAGACCAAACACCCGCAACCAAATCCAGTTTCAGTTTGTTCAATATCACACTGATTCAAAATCCTTTTTACTTCTTTTCTTTTTCCCTTTTCTATCTTCTTCTTCTCCTTTACTTACAACAACAAAGGAGAGGGAAAGAAAAGCAAAAGGAAGAGTGTAGAAAGAAAAAAAACGAAGAACCCAAAATGAAACAAAAAGCCTATCAATCTGGGACGTTGATTTGATGGATCTATAGATCTAACGCTTTTAAAAAACCCACATGTATTGCTGTGTTTCTTTTAGATCTCCGTCGTTTTCATCTGCTATCTTTCAGTAGCTAAAAACCAATTTCTACTGTGAGTTTATTTTGCTTTTATTTTCCCCCTTTTTTATAGTAATTTATGTGATTGATGTTTTTCCTTCGAGTTACTGAGCATTTATTGTTGTAGAATTTTGAGTGTCTAACCGGGTTATTGTTTTGTTCAAACGTAGGAATGTGAATGTAGATTTGACTCTCTCTATTTTGTTTTTCTTCACTTATCTTTTTGGCTACATCTTATGTCGTTTCTTTTGTTTTTATTTACTTCACTGGCAGTATTAGCTTAAGGGTCTTTTTTTTGTTCTTTTCCATTTTCCATTGTAGGCAGAAATGGATGTCTGTTCTCGTTTTATAATAGAACTGTCTTAGTTTTTTTTTTTTTTTCCCCTTTGGGGTGAAGGGATCAATTTGACAATTAGTTGTGAGCTACTGTTTGTTGAATTGTATGTTGTTTTAACAGGGGTGTATATATTTTTTTCGACTGCAGGAGAGGACTCCGGGTTTTATTGATTAGAAGAATTAAGTTTTTGGTGGATATATTGCATCCAATTTTGGATGTTGAGGAGGAATTGGAGGCTGGCCCTGGTGAGATGAGGGATGTTATCGAGGTTGGTCAACTTTCTGAGGGCCTGCTGGCGGCCGTCCTCGGACCCTTATGTACACACAGGTTCGGATGCAGCAGGCCGGAAAGAAGGGCTCCTTTGGTACAAGGACAGTGGGCAGCACTTGAATGGTGAATTTTCCATGGCTGTTGTCCAAGCTAACAATCTTCTTGAGGATCAGAGCCAGATCGAATCTGGCTCCTTAAGCACTCTTGAGTCTGGTCCATACGGCACCTTTGTAGGCATATACGATGGTCATGGCGGCCCTGAGACATCACGTTATATCAATGATCACTTGTTCCACCATCTAAAGAGTAAGAGACCTTGGAACCAATTATGCTTCAATTGTATTTATTTCACTCTCTAGGATAGCTATTGAACTCACACTAAGTTCTTTTTCTTTTCCTGTAATTTAAGGATGTTGCATTTATTCGTGCTTTTAGGTTGAGAACCAGGTTGGTGCCACAATGACTCAGTTGTTAATATTATTTTGCAGGGTTCACCACAGAGCAGCAATCAATGTCTGTGGATGTCATAAAGAAAGCATATCTGGCAACAGAAGAGGGATTTTTCTCTCTTGTTACAAAACAGTGGCCTATGAAGCCCCAGATTGCTGCTGTTGGATCATGCTGCCTGGTTGGTGTTGTTTGTAATGGGACCCTTTACATTGCTAACCTTGGTGACTCTCGTGCTGTGCTGGGAAGGCTTATCACGGCAACTGGGGAGGTTCTTGCCATCCAGCTGTCATCAGAGCATAATGTAGGAATAGAGTCTGTCAGGCAGGAGATGCATTCTTTGCATCCTGATGACTCACACATTGTAGTTTTAAAGCATAATGTATGGCGTGTGAAGGGCCTGATACAGGTAAGTTCTTTGCTTTGACATTAGTGATAGACATACAAAGGGGTCTATGCAATTTATATTTTCTTGATGTTATTGAATGCTATAAATGGATTGAAAGCTTGAAAGGTAAATTTAACTAAATAGAAAATTGTAAGTCTTGTGTCTTTTTCTATCCTTGTGTGAAATCTGCGTTTTACAGCTTTCATTTGGTTGTAACATTACATTATGATTGCTAAATTGAAAGGAAGTTGTATAATGTTGTTCAACTGGTTTTGTTTCTCAGTTTATTTTCCATTAATCAACATAAATTATTTTTTTAGGGCTCTAACATGCATAGAATGTTTACAGAACCTTTTTGTTGCAGGTTTCTAGATCTATAGGCGATGCTTATCTTAAAAAGGCTGAATTCAACAGGGAGCCTCTATATGAAAAGTTTCGTCTTCGTGAACCTTTTAGAAAGGCAATTTTGAGCTCTGAACCATCAATATCTGTGCATGAACTCCAACCTAATGATCAGTTTCTCATATTTGCTTCTGATGGGCTCTGGGAACATCTCACCAATCAGGATGCAGTTGATATAGTTCAAAATCATCCACGGAATGTAAGATATACTTCTCTTATGAAGAATTTAGTGTGGTTGTACTATTAAGTCTATAGTCTACTTATTAACAGCATGATTTGTGGTTTATGATGACTATTGGCAAATTGAGAATGCGTGCTTTGGATGAGTCATGACTTCATGTTAACTTGAAGCAATCTCATCCTAGTGTTTTGGTTTCCACTTTGAGATCATTAATTCTATGTTGCTCCACTCAGTGTGACATCAACTCATTTTATTATCTTCCCTTTTCTTCTGCTAGACTTCTAGTGCTGCTTTGAGCTGCTGATCATTGTTGATTACATTGGCTGTTTCTTAGCTTTAGAAGTTTTAGCACAAATTATTCCTTGATTGAATGGTGACATTTGCGCATGAAATGTAAAGCAAAAATTAAATGCTGACTTACAATCCAGGTTTAAAGATCATTGGATGGAGGCCTTGAGCAACCAAGCCCACATTTTTTTGTTTCTCTTGTCATATGTGTGTTCGTGTAATTATTGTGCAGTGGCATAAGAGGGGTATAAATATGTCTTGTGGATGGATGCACATGAATTACCCTTTTAATGCAGCATGGAGAAAAATAATTGTTATTTGATTTTTTTGTGCTTATTCTTCTCACAGGGGAGTGCTAGGAGGCTTGTGAAAGTGGCCTTGCTGGAAGCTGCTAAAAAGAGAGAAATGAGATACTCTGATTTGAAGAAGATTGAACGAGGCGTGCGCCGGCATTTCCATGATGACATCACCGTTGTAGTTTTATTTCTTGATTCAAACCTTGTGAGCAGAGCCAGCTCAGTAAAAGGCCCTTCATTATCCCTGAGAGGAGGTGGGGTTAACCTGCCTGCAAAAACTCTGGCTCCCTGCGCCACACCAATGGAACTTAATATCAGTTGATGAGGTTGACGGCTCAAACTGTTGTATCCAATTCAGTAACCTTATCTGAACTTCGACAATACCTTCAGTTCTTATTAGCAAGAAAGAAGGTGCAGTCCTTAAATTAATTTTTAATTTTTTAATGTACAATGTAACATTTTAACTGGAGACGTATTCTATTTAGTTTATAAGCCCTTGAGCTGGAAAAGGAAAGAATCAGAAAAATAGAGCTGCAAAGGTGACAAGACAAAGGTTATTTCTTTAGGACGATCATCTCTAGCATTCATTTAACCATGTTTGCTCACACTGGGCTTTGGGGTTTTGCAAATTGCAAATTCATTTAACCTATAATTGTTGTTTGCATGTTACAATAATTTCAGTTAATGTTGTAACCTTGTAGGCATCGAATGGAAGGGACAATAGTGGAGTGATTCATCTCCTTTTCTGGGTTCGTTTTGTTGACCAGCTCTTGTTCTGGAAATTAACAAGGTTAGCTTCCATTTAAATTCCATAGGACACTCTCAATTATTGTGGCTGATTGAGGGTTTATAAAGACAAAACATGGCCAGGAGTCATGGGTTCTGTCCTACATTAAAAGGAATTGGATTATTTTCTGGCCCCTGATGGACCGTGGAGGTTCTTGCCAGGTAAATCATTTCTTCTGGAGATTGGAAGGGAAGGCACAGCAAAAGCGAATGGGTCCTTTATCCAAGTGAGACAAGAGAAATACCAATCTGCTGCTTCCTTTTGCCCTTTCTGGCAAATCATTTAAGCGTTGGACCGGCATTTGATCCAGTCCCGCTTTTTTTAATCTCAAACCCAAGACTCAGTCCAAGCAGCTCGCTCAGGAATTATATTTATTGCAAGCTATTGTGGTTAAATTAGCTAATTGCAAGTACTAATAGTATTAGCCTGATGCTAAAGGAGTTGAATTTCACAAAATTGTGACTGATTTTGAGATCATGGTTTTTTTAAACATTAGAAAGGCAGATGTGATTGGTTACGTTCCTGACATCAAGGTATGCACCAATAGGTTTAACATCCGACAATGGACTGGAGAATAATTGTAGGTTAATACCTTCATGAACTTCTTTCACATACCTTAACAAGGAACTAAAAGGAAGGAACCAGATGTTCTGTAACAATTTATTAACAAGCTTGAATTACTTTTCTAATTGCTCTCTACCTATCTCCTCACTTACTCCGCTCAAATTCTTCTTATCAACATCAACAATATTGCTGTTGATCTCAAAACACCTTAAGCTGATACTTTGAAATGAAACACTATCCATCTCAACTCGGAACTTCTGAAATCCAACATCATCTAAGCTAAAGCTTTGACAATAATCCTGGTCCAATGATCTACGAGGAAACTTGTCATTTGTTCTTCGAGAACTTCTCAAGGGCTGTCTGTTCAAGAAGTTGCCAACTGAATAAAGTGTATCTTCTAGTTCTTGCCAGACCTCAGTCATTGTTGGACGGTCTTTAGGCATTTTCACCACACATCTTAGACCATGTTTTCCCATCCTCACCATCATTTGCATATTGCATGGTTCGTATAAAAGATTAGTATCAAGGATTTCTTCGATGCTGCCCCTCTTTATACTGGGCCTTGCCTGCATTTTAACAGCTTACTTTAGAACATGTTTAGCCTCTAAATTGGCAGATTACTAACAGCTTCAAAGCAAAATTATAATTGATAAACTAGCTAACCCAATCAATAATATGATAATCATGTTGATTTCTAGTTGAATCTACAGCAGGCCGGGCACAAACAAGTTGCAGAAGGATAACACCAATAAAAGGTCCCAATTTCACGAGTCCAAAATCTGAGACCTTGGCTTCGAACCGTCTCCAATTAAGATGTTGTTAGGTTTTATATCACGGTGGATTATACTAGGCTTAATCCCATCATGTAAGTGAGCTATTCCTGTAAAAAAAAAAAAAATAATTTCAGGTAACCCTGTTAATAATATTTTGTACCTACTTTTTACGTGGGAAATCTACCTTTAGCTGTTCCAATAGCTGTGTTTACTCTTTGCCTCCACGTCAACTTTCTTCCTCCTCTTCCTACACTCCAAAAAGTGAGCAGACATGAGAATTTCCTTTTCTGTTCTTTTTTATTGGTTTCTTGTCTCTGTGAAATGTTTCAAATGGGTGCTTACCCATGATATACTCAAGTAAGGAACCATGTGGTACGTATTCCTAAACCAATATCTTTGCACCTTTTAGTCCTGTTACAAATGATACAAAATTTTCCCCTTAAATTCTTAATGCAAACTTAAACAATTGAATAATTGATGGATGACTTGAGGCTCATTTTACGTACCAGATTCTTCACAAAACCCCTTCAAACCTACGAGATTCAGATGATTTACTGTTAAGGAAGCCTCACTTCTGTTTCAAGAAACCAGTAAAAACAAGTCAATTATCCAGATTCTATAATCTAAAGTCTCTCAATCAAACTTGAACTGTGAATACTTCTTGATAAATTAAATTATGGATGTAGAATTAAGGCGACTCACCATTTCTAAATTCTTCAACGCTTTGGTATGACTCAGCGTGAGCTCTCTTGATTGTTAGCGTGCCTTCAACTTCAGAGGTTCCTTTATAGACATTCCCAGATGCACCAGACCCCAACAAACTGTCAGCACTAAAATTTTGGTAGCCTTCTCCAGCTCCTTCAACTGGAAAAGTCTTAACTTTAATGTCTCAGCTTTCAGACTTCCTAATTGTTTACTCGTGAACAAAGATTAGTTCAACAACTAAGGAGCAAGCAATTTAATGGAGGAATGACTTTTCTCTAAGGAATAGTGATTAAGCACTTTGTCATTCTAAAAGATTTTAAGGAGGATCCTAGCAAGGCTGTTAAAATGGCACTGATACAACTCCCCACATCTGCTTATGACTATGATCAGCGTGATCAGATATTTGAGAACCCTCTAGCAAATGAAATCTCTTGGCCATGTACTAGATAAGTAATTTTCTTTAACCCAAAAACAAAAGGAAAATGTTCAATCACCTCATTTCTTCTAACGGTCCATTTTCATAATGAATTTTGTTTAATTTTCTTCTTCTCTAAATAAATTCCTTGACTGAAAAGAGGCAGGCAAAGGAATATATGAAAAAAAGAAGGAAGTTTAGAGTTGTTTCGTAAAAGACTATTCTTTTGCCGGTAAACTTTATTTTCTAACATAAGTCTGTATATATTCAGGAATCACTCTCCATGTTATCATGGACTTGGTCTAATTTAGAGACGGCACATAGACCAAAGAATACGTAAAAGTTTTCATGCCATTGTTGACAAAAAAAAAAGGGCATAGAATCTCCATGTTCTTAAGTTCAAAAACTGACATGTACGTAATCGCAATAGACAAGAAAAATCCATAAAGCCACCAGGTCTGAGCTGTTCCTTACATCACATATTTGTTTTCTTCTTTATTTCAGTGCATGATTCCTGGGAATAAGTTACCGTCACTGATGCAAGTAAACAGAAAAGTCTCCTACTTAAGGCCACATCAGTGGATTAATATGATTCCAAAATCTTGATTTAGCTGATGTTTTAAATAGTGGCAAGACATGATTCCAAGGATCCGGATAAGACTCCACAAAAAATTTGATTTAAGTGGGAAATGGTGGACCAAGAAAATTAACGATCATAAATATTTAATTTTGTGATTAAGATTGAAAGCAAGTTTGATCAAGCCATTGGATGTCCTATTGTGATTGTTTTAATCTATTTACTTCATTATCAATTACGTTTGATTTTGGAGGCTTTGTGGATTGCAATTTCTTGGGTTGTCCTCTGTGTCAGATTCTCTAATTCCACTGAAAAGTTTAAATCCATGCCTTAAATTCATACGTTAAAAATTGAATCTTTTGTTGATAGTTTCTGGGGTTGTCTTGTGTGGGCAAGATTATAACATTAATAGCAAAAGTCAACCTATTGAAATTAAGTGCGAAAGTGGAAGATACATATTTTTTGTTTAAAGAAAAACATAGTACTAACTTCAACTTAATGTAAAGCTTGTTCTAGAATGATGATGCCAGGTTAATTTTTATGTTTATTAGATTCTACTATTTTTGTCAGTTGAGTGGAATGTGAGTTATTGTATACTTTGTTCTGATGAATCCTATGGTCTTGTTATCAGAATATGTCTGTAAAATTGAATTGAAGTACATGCTTGGAGTCTTTCTTTACTTAACAATCTCTTAACAAGAAATTTTGAACTGTTAAGTTTAAGCTTGAACATAAAATATCTGAACTGAAATAGTGGAATGAGCAAATTGAAAAGGAAATAGAAACACAGTAGATTTCTTTTCTTTTTCATCATTCTTTTTTTTATTGAACTTGAGAAAATAATGTTCATATAGCTTTCCTGAACTTTGACTCTGCTAAATATTGCCCCAAGATTGAAGGCACAATCTTTAAATGAATTCGTTAGGAAATGAATCATGTGAAACTCATCACATGGTTGCAGGGAAAATAGTTGTTTTTGGCCGAAGTTGAAATTCAAGAAGCATCCACTCCATAAATCTTGTTATTTATGCAATTATTATTATGAGAAGAAATATCAGATTCTGATATTTGATGGAGGAATGTCACCTCTGCTATATTGTTAAACCACCAAAGAAACATTTAATGAATGAAACTTCATGTCAGATTAAAAATCTTAAACAGGAAAAGGCTTATCTACCAGATTTAAACTTTCATTTGGGGTAGACCCAGATGTACTTTCTTTCAATGATGCATCCTTTCCAAAGCACAATTTCGCAACTAGTACAGTCTTTGCTAGAACGCATTTGCCTATAGCCAATGGCTCCATTTCTAAATTTACATCAAGATTTTAATGTGGTAGCTGGCTGGCGGATAAACTCCTGACCTGTTTTGCCCCTGGACCATTAACCCTGTTCGTTGGTCCAAACCGTTAGCCTCGTTGGAGGCCATTCTCATGTCAGACAATAATTATGCAAGTGGACATTTTGATGATCAAATTACCCTCGTTATCTCCTTTGAAGTCTGGACTCATTTCTTCTCTTTCTTTGTTTTCCCGTTTTCATGGTGGGTTGAAGGCGCTGCCTTGTATCTCTCTCTCTCCTTCTATGTCATTGTTGATTTGCATCAGATTTTTGCATTGTGGTATAGGGGTGACTTTCTTGGTGTTTTTTCATTTCAATTATATTCCTTGTAAATCGCTTTAGGCTTTGTTCCATGGGCTTTTAAATTCTCTAGATTCGATCGTAATTATGATCAAGCTTCTTTCTTTGGCTATGCTTTGATTTTTGGTTATTTGAAAGGGAAAAAGTTTATGGCTTTATACGAACCGAAAGCTTTGTAGCATCGTTTTTTCATTCTTCAATTTTTTAACTTGATTTGGGTTCTGTTGTTGCAAGTAATGAGTGATCAAATTCTAAATTTTTTTTTTTTTTTGTTGAGAGAAAAAGAAAAACATAATTACTTGAAAGAGAAAGACATGAATGAGAAAGGGAGAGCAAATTTGTTTGCAACTACTTGGGACAATGTTAGAAGTGACTCAGCAGAGTATGACAGTTTGACTAAAGGGGTTAATAGTCCAGAGGGAACATTTATTTTGAAACTAGAGAGGGTTTGTGTTTGAAGAGAAGGGTTTTTGAAATTTACACGCCGGATGGCTTGCTGGATGGCCACAAGTTAATAAGTTCTTTTTGTTTAGTGGCTGGAATTTACACTCTGCAATTTAGTGCTTCCGGCCATACTTGGTTATAGACTTAATATATCGTTTTAGCCATCTATTTTTCAGTTGTTTATCAAGTTTTCCAGACCTTCAGTTATACTAGTGTTACATTATTGATTTTTCGTTATTGAATTCGTTACCACAAAACAATCAAATCCATGTTTTGATGTCGATATATAGGGCTTATATATGATATGGCGAGGGGACTCATTGCAGTGAGGAAGAACCAGGCAGTATTGCCTGAGCAAGATGTGATGTTGTCTCCATAGTTTAGTCTCTTGCTGAAGTATGCCCTTACGATGGTTGGAAAAGAGAATTAAACTCTGATAAATATTAAACATCCAATCCAAAATCAATCGGTGAGAAAATTTTAACTTAAATATAAAATTGTAAAAAATATAATATTTAACAAATGTAACATAACATCATTTTAATAATAAAATCTGAAATACTGTAATAATATTGTAAAAAAAAAAAGTGATCTCTTGACATCGGTTGTTATGCAAGGACATTGCAGGGTAGATTTTTAGTGGAAATAGAATCTTACGGTGCTCCACGAGGCAAATATGCTGTAACTGATGGCTGAGGATTCCCTGTTCTTTTTCTGCTGGAGAGGAGTGACGTGACCAAGGAACTTGTTTCGAAACTTTGTTGGCTTGAATTTACATAATCCTACATTAACATTTTTTTCTAAGTTCACCTGCTGTTTGGTCAAGTTGGGAACGTGTCCTGTTTTGTTTGTGCGTATTTGACAAGATAATACCCACCGCCCAGGTCCTGGAAGTCAGAGAAGATTAAATTTAGACACCTTCCGCCGGGCACGTAATTCAAAATACTACTGTTCTAACATGTTTCACTTTCCGCTCTAATCTCTATCAAGCAAGAGCCCAAGACTTAAAACATCTGACCAACTCCTCCCTCAGCCTCCACACAGATATTTATTGCAAGACTTTACAATGCTTACCCCAGCAGTTTCATGAATGAGACTGACAATGAGCTCTGAAAAATATTTTCAGAATAACTATGTCATCTAGCCTTGTATGATTGATATCTGATCAAGTCGTACCCAATTAGATCAATTCCCACACTGTCGGTGTTCCTCTGATGAACTTGTAATAACAACAAAACACTATAATCCTTGCTATGATTGTTTTCTAAACTGGCAAGACTCAAAAATATTGCCTATGACTGTCACCTATAAACAGAAGCAGCAATCAGCAGATAATAAATACATTTGGATCTGGCTTCTGAACCATATCGTTTGCCTTGAATCTATTAAAAGCTTTTCTATATCCAGAATTAATACAATCAGAAAACTGGAGGTCTCAATCCAGGATGAAACCTCTTGAGAACTGAAATAACAATACCCTGATCATATGCATGCACTACCACTCTGCTTACAATACTCATTTACATAAAGAACAACAGTCAACGGATCAAGATAAGCAATTAGAAGTTTCAAAACTGTAAATCAAAACCTTTATACAAAGGGCTAATCGAGTACAATGTTCAATCCCGCGACATGATCTACATAGACTACTCAGAAAGACAAGAGTAGGCAAGCATTTGATGAACAAATATACAAGCCCCGCAAGTAAGAACAGTATAAATAAAATATAAATAACTCCTAATCCTATTATTTACAAAACTAAGATTACAGATCCCTTCTGCACAATGGACAAGAACCATGACCAAGAAGCCACTTATCTATGCAAGGCAGGTGGAACATGTGATGGCACTGCGGCAAGCTCCGAATTGTTTCTCCAAGCTGAAAGTCCTGCATAAAGTGAACTTCAAGCGTCAATCTAACAAGCTTCTTATGCAACTAGATTTTACTTCAAATGGAGGGAAAATAGAAAATATGGTATGGTAAGACCTGAAGGCAAACTGAACAGGAAACTTTCTCCCCAGAAGCATCTACATTGTTATTGTTTGTGATTATGATCTTTGGGATTTTTTCTACCAAATCTCCAGCCAATCCTTTAGCACCACCAGTGTCAAAGATGTTCTGGACCTCCTCAAAAGTAGTTTCAGCAGCTCCCATCTGGTAAAAGAAACTGAAACTATAAGCAAATTGCCATCAAATGGAACCATCACTTTCTAGCAAAGAACTACTATCATTTCGCAAAGCATATTACCTGACTTTGGACTGCACTCAGCATGGCAGGACCAATTCGTTCACGAACAAGCCTCCCACTTAGAAGGCTTGCAATAACATCAATCTGCACAACTTGCAGGAAAATGAATTAGATTGCCTACGAGGATTACTATAACTCAAAGTGAAGGTTGAAAATTGTGAATATTGTATCACAAACTCATCAATTTTAGAACAATCAAGCGTTTTTTTATATGCCTTTTTCCATTAAATTAGAAACTAGCAGCAACCAAACCTGTAAAACGAGGGGAAATAAACAAAACAGCTTACCAAGTAAAGCAAACATCTGATCCCAGATTCGTCAGATTGCCAAAGGACAAGAGAAGATTCAAAGACTTCGATTGAGAAAACCGCTCCAGATATAGCCCCAACTGCAGCCCCTCGAACGAACCCACTCTCCGTCTCTTGTCCTATCAAAGCCCCCGTCATGGCCCCTAAGAAGGTGCCCACTGCAGGCAAAAATGTCGATCTCTTCAGTAAAATTTGAGTATAAAAAAGATAACCCTAGGCATTAAAGTGTTTTACAAGTTAAATTCTAAGAAACCAAACAACAAGTCATTAATTCTATGAGTATTTTGGAAATAAATATAAGGCAAAATTAAAGCCAAACTGCTTTGTCTGCAAACAAAACATTTTCATATTATTGCAATCAAACAAAATTAAGACAACAACATAATTATATTTATCTTTTATCCGTATAATACTTCTGGACAAATGATGATTATTACTGATATTAATATCAAAAATGTAAAATTTCAACAAAAAATGGAACATGTCTTATGAGTTATTAACAGGAGAGAAAGCAAAAAAAAAAAAATGCCAAATTCAATTTATTGTCAAACCAACATCTAGGGCTATGAATTGATCAAGAATTCAATTGCTTCCAATGAAAAAAAAGTTGTAAATTTGATCAGCAACGAGAAATCCAAAAGCTTTGAAGAAACAATGAAGCAGAAAAGAGAAGAGAGAAAGAAACCAACCTAATGCAAAGAAGAAGGTTAGGATCGCAGACAAAATGTTCCCAATGATGGCAGAGACGGCGAAATTGCAAAAATCTTTAACCTTTTCAATTAAATCCCCAAACAAAGAAAATGGAGACATAGAAAAACGAGCGTAATAATCCATTCTCTTTCCCTTCTTGGGTTTTGGTATTTGTTCGAACGAGAATTGAAATGAAAAGGTTTTGGTGATCTACAAAGTGCAGGGTTTAAGAATTACTAAGAAGCTTTTATATTTAAAGGAAAATGCAAAAAACAAGAGAGAAGAGAAAGGGTATACCTGGTGCTTAAGGGATGAAAAAAGAGCAAATCAATCAACGCGGTTACAGCTTCAAACTTCAATCTCTTGATGCGACCCTCTTTCTCTCTCTAGCTCTTTTCTTGGAAACATGAAAATTTCTACCCTGTAGATGAAAGAAAATCACTCTCTCTCCCTGTTTTAACTTAACAATATACCAAAAAATTAATAAATTAATTAAATGGTAATAATGTTCGTTGTCAAAAGACACGAGACGAGAGAGGTACGGATAAGAAACTTCTTTTTTGGTGGACTAATAGAGGAAGGAAGGATCCACGATGGATCACTCATTTTCTTTTCTATAAAAGAGAGAATTTTACTCGATCTTTATTTTTGGCTCAAGTGATTGGCGACATCCGACAAAGTGGTTCAACCTTTGAACTGACCCTTTGGTTGGTTTTTATCTGTTTTATTTTGTGTTTTGGGAGCTTATTGAAAATCATACCTAACAGATTGGAACCTTTGAAACCACTAGTACTTGCTCTTCAGACACGGATCCGTTCACAATTCAAGTAACCAAATCTCTGTCCGGATTAGTAAATTTTCCTCTGGTTTTTTCCTTTTTTTTCTTGGTCATTATTTTTTCTCCCATCGATCTACTTGGTCTGCTGATAATTCCCAACTAAACCAGCCTCTTAGGGCGTAAATCTCTTTTTGGTCTTTAACACGTTTTGCACTGAATTGTCAGAGTGTCAACATAATTTTCCATCCTTCACCATTTTTTTCCTTATGCACAATTATTATTTTCTTTGACCTTTTTTTTTTCTTTTGCATGTAGGTATAAAAATATTTGGAGCGTTGAATTATTTACATCCTTCAAATTTTGAGTCAAAGCTTTTTTTTTCCTTCTGGAGTTTTGCCAATTCTTGATAGGATGGATAAAAAAGCAAAAAAGATAGGAATTTCCATAAATAAAGACTAAAGCGTTTGAACTTGGGAAGGGAGGCAGATGCTTCCTTGAATCTCCTTGGTGAGTGTTGATGATAGTAGCATTGTAGATTTCTTCCCTTTGTCAGCAGTATGTATAATAATTTCCAGGAAGGAAGCAAATCTGCTGGCCTACTTGCTCCATATGGTGTTGAAGATCAATCTTTTGCTGTCTTCTGTAATTTTACCCTTAGATGGGTTTGTAATGAATACTTGACTACTCTCTACCATTCACCATCTGAGTAAAAATAATCTCTTTTTTAGTGGAGAATTTATTGGGTTACATCCAATACCAGAAAGTCCTCGCAAATAGAAAACCAATCAAAAGAATATTTCATAACCTATTCTTGTTACTGAATCTTAATGAGTTTTCTAGCAGCGAGCAGTCATTTCATCCTTTTGCGTTAAATGCAAAGGCAATGATACCCCTAAAAACACGGAACTTTAGTTTCGAATCTTGCAATGACAACTAGACAATTGGCTACAAAAATTATGACTTCAAACTTGTTTTTCAAGAATTTGTTCGATCACATTTTTTCGATTATTTCAACTGATTTTGGATCTGTTTTTGCTTTTTTTTTTTTTTTTCAACTTGATTTTAGCTACCGAAAATCCTTTCACCAGCATTTTGAAGACTCCGGAGAAGCCAGATGGTGTTGAATTCGGCAAATACTACAGTTTACCTGCTCTCAATGATCCACGGATCGGTCAGTTTTTTTTCTTTTTCTCTTTTACATTTTAAATTTCGTTTCTTTCGTTTCATTTGCTGAGAAATGACAGGAAAATAAAATAAGTGAAATGAATCTATGTTTTTAAGCTAATATGGAGGTTGTTGACGGATTATTCAAATTGGTCAACTTATTTTATTAAGTAGAAAACAGGGTAGATATCGAAGCTCTGTTTTCACTTTTGTTTCCTGTGTCGCGTTTTCTCTAAAATCAAACAAAGCCAGTTTATAGATTCTGTGTAGATTACGAATGAATAATTCATGGCTATATAGTCTTGTCTTCTTCATCAGTTCATCGGAACGCGTTGTCATCCCAATTGATGATTTCCCGCAAACAGACTCACCGGTAATCTACGTCACTCGGTTCAGTTGGGGGAGTCCACGTGAGTTTAGCGCACGATGATATCGTCAGCTATTATCGAAGGCCTTTAAGTCCGGTCAGCTTAGGTTGAACTCGAATTTAGATTTTATGCCTATGTTGGGTTTGGTCCAATCTGAAATTTTTTATTTTATTAGTTGTAAATAACATTTTTAATTTTAGAGTTAATTAAAACTACCAAAATATTAGAATTAAGTTAATTTTTTATTCTTGGCTAGGAAAAAAAAATTTTAACGGCCAAAGAAAAATTTTAAGGACTGTAATATGCCTAAATAATCTCGTGTTTCTCATTTATCATCAGCTCATCTTTGGTGGGCATTACACTTTGGCATGCCGGCCAAAATTCTGACCTTTATTCTACTAGTGGCAGTAACATGATATAAAGGCTTTTTACTGAGGTAAAAATGAAAAAAAAATTTGAAAAGATAAAAGGAAAAAACAAGGAAATAAACAAGTTGGGGCATGAGTCCAAGTCAGCAGAAGAAAGCACTACATGAAAAATGATAGAAGGGGCCAAGCTATGCAGCATGCATGAGGCACAATAGCTGTAGTTGTAGAGCTCTCATTTTAAATTTCCATAGTACAAGTAATAATATGGAATCCGAGTCAATCCTGTCAACTAAGAAAATGTAAAATGTAAGATAATGTATGAGATCATTTGCAGGAAAGGCTAGTTTGAATACTCTAAAGAAAGCCATTTCAAGAACAACGGAGAAAATGTTGAGGGATTTGAGGTTTTTCTGTACCCTTTATCTTAAAAAGAAGAAAGAATTAAAATCATTAAAAGTGGAGAATACGCAGCTGTCAGGAATCTGTTGCAAATAGGGATGAGGCCATCAAAAATATCTTGATTAACCATTTCCCTCAACCTTTAGTTTATGCTAAGGCCTACTTAATATATGGTATATTTTAATAATCATTATTATTTTAAGGGTTCTAGATACAGAAGAAGAGGAACTTACATGTCAAATGGTTGACAGCAACAATATAGCTATATCAATGATTCTGATAACTATCAATACTGGATAGAAAAAGTTACCTTTTATAAAGGCTGTTTAAACCTTGTACTCATTTACACGCATCCATTTTGTAGATGACCACTTATTTCCTCTAATCACAGGGCAGCCACCTGGATAATTACAAATAGTAAATTAATAGATGAACCTAGTAAAGGAATGAAGGGAAGGTAGGGGTGGGGGGGGGGGGGAAGAAGGAAGTAGATATTAACTTATGATAAATTAAGAAATGCAGCAAGACATGCAAGGGACATGACGCTCAAAAATGAGAGTCTTCCTGCGCGATATAACTGAAATTCGAATCACACCCCTCAGCAACTAGTTAATTAGTAACTAGAACTAACCATGCAGACTTGAAGGATCTAGACTAGCATCAGGCTTCATGCTCCAGAAAAGTAATGCATCACCCATCTTTGGTTTGACAGAAAGTCCCCCTTTTCCGCATTCAGATAATTCGTTCCACCAGGGAACAGCACTAATGTTCCCCTTCGCTGCAGGAAACACTGTCTCTCCCCCTTCTTCAACATCTGAACTGTAAAATGGTAAAAAAAAGAAAGTACAGATAGAACAAATGTGAACCTTCACATAATGCACTAGGATGAAAAACAGAGTGAAAGTTTGCCATGTCACTTACAGGTACATTAGCACCGTAGCTATGCGTTGGCCCCCATTCTTAGTATTGAACTCATCCATGAAGTAGTCATAATGGGGCTCATATTTTTGGCCCACTTCATAGTGGAGAATTTGAAGTCCTTCCCCGTGCTCTGCATATTATTGTGTTGACGTGAGTAACTTTATAACCGCAAGTAGCATTAGAAAAAAGCTGACCTAAAGCAGACTTTAAGGAAGAATACATGCTAATGTGGAAGAAAGAAGTACATAGTGAACGCGAAAGTAATGAAAGATAATTAACTGATGAACTGGGATTGATCAAGATACTAGAACATACCTACTGGTATGAAGCTAAAATCTGCAATCCTTTTCTCAATGTTCCTAATTATCTTATCACGTCCTCTAGCCAGAAATGTTCCAGAACTTGTACGTACCCTGTATGTAAACATCCAGGGTTTTCCCTATAATCAAAGAGTAAACAAAAATACAAAGGAAAACTTGTAAAATAAGAACTCTTAAGAATTACAAACCTGCTATCCTTAGTCTTGCCAGTTTCACTATCAACAACGGTTGACTTTTCCATATGAGGCTTGGCAAGATCAATTAGGTAATTACATTCCTCCTTGGACTGCCAAAAACATCAAATAAGAACATTGATCAGGTCCAAAATCCTTCTAACTGAAAAATTAGAAAAAAATTGCTTATTTAACTAATAATTTCAATTGCAATAGCGTTTCAGTTAGAATTAAAAACAAAATAGGCAACACTTTCGGCTAAAAAGAGGAAAAATGAAAAACTGACCAAGAAATTATGATAGATAAAAGCTCTAGGCTCCCAGGAGATGACTTCAACCCAGTGCTCTCCTCTCCCTTCATCATCATCACCATGATCACTTCTGCCAATTCCAAAAACGCCCTCAAAACAAGCAGAGTTATTACCAGATCGCCATCCAACTCAACCAAAAACTTCAAAACAAACTCACCTCTGGACGATGTTATGCACAATCGAGCTCAAATCGTTGGGCTTATGCGAATTTCCGGAGTTACTGCTAGGAATTGAAAGGATTCCGAGAGCCAAAAGAATCAAAATCAGGAAGGTGAACATGATCAGCATAGTAAGAAACATGGTTGACGACGACGATTTCCGAGCCGGAAGGCGCGAATACCTCGGCTTCACCATTGCTTCTGAAACTCGGGAGATCGAGATCTGGAACTTACTCGACTCGTTGTTTGACAAGAGACCCAGTCACAAGAAAGCGCCCTCTTTGTCTTCGTTTTAGAAGTCCTTCGTTCGTGTCTGTCTGCTTTGAGGTTTCTATGGATTTTATGGAAGCCAAAGTCTTCTGAAAATGTTGTTACCCGTTCTTCAATTGATTTTGGATATTTCTCGTTTTTTTTTCACTTTTCTCCTTATACTTTTTCTTATTTATGAATATTTCCACTATATTTTTACTTATTAGCGCCAAGGTTTTTTATTTTAAAAAGAAATAGCTTCGAGGATTATTTATTTATGTAATTTATTGATAACGTAGAAGTGGTGCTAAAACATGACAATAATATTAGAAAGTACTTAGAACAAAGTTGTCAACCCCTCCGCACCTTATACCAAGTCGATCCCAGAATATTTCTACTATACTTTTGGCTGCTGATGCCTTTGGCAATTAACAAAATTTGTTAAGAACTCATCATTGTGAGAGACTGAGCCTTTTCATTATTAGCACTATTGATTTATCAGGAACTTTTACTATCTGTCCAAAATTTTGAGGCACTTGAAAATAATCAAAAGTTCAAAACCATGGGAGTTTATACTTCTTTAAATGATTTGATCCTATATGCAAAGATTCTTGGGAGGAACTTGGTAGTTGCGGCATATTATCAGCTAACCAAAAAAAATAGACTTTACAGGGGATCATGTTAGTATGTTACTCGCTGGCAGCTGCTAGATCTTTTGCATTTATCTTTTTCGGAAGTAAGGCCAACTAGTTGAGATTTTGCACTGGAAAAGTTGAAAAGTTGGAGAAAAAAGAATAAAGCCTTCTTTGGAAGGCTTAAGTGGAAAGGACATCCACTTAATGATGTTATTTTCCTTCACACCCTACCAAATATTTCAGTAATTTGATGCAGGTCTTTCGTGCTTTAACAAAATTCACCTTCACGTTTTGCTTTTATAATCCTGAATTTGACCATGGTTTACGAACCATCACAGATTGTCATTGATGATAAAGTGAGCAAAAGAGAAGTGGTTTACCAGAAAAACAGAAACAACAATTATAACACTTTGAAGTATAAGATACCTGCGACAGTGCTTGCTTTTACAAGGGGGTCTTCTCAGAACAGAATGAAGAAATACCAATCATACTAATTTGCAGGCACACTTAAATAAATGAACAGAGCTTCCAATGACACAGATAAATCACTGCATAGCAATTATCTGTCCTGATATCAGGTAATTCAATCAATCGAAAGTTGAAAAAACTTCCCAATCCCAATGGCCTAAAAGACACCAAGTGATGTAGGATATAAAGGAGTAGGTTTATAATTGAAAAATTTTGGAGTATAAGTGGATGCTCGTCGCTTTGGATTATCCATGGACTCGAAAGCTGGTTGGTTTAAGTATGCATATTTGCTCTTTGTCCACCTGCTCATGTTAGTTGAAAGAAGATATTAGAGTTCAATTAAAATGTTCTAGTATGACTTTCAAGGAATAAAAGCATTTTATCAGTTGTCTTAAACTAATAGCTACGACACCAGAAGATGAGCGAGCACTAGCAAATCCCATGTCCATGCCCTGTTATATTATCAGTTATCTGCCATATTTCACGGATAAAATGCAGTTATTTCCATCTTTTGACTTCAGAAAACTGCTATAATATTAAGCCTGCACATTGTCATAGCTAAATTGAATCAGGGAAATCTACTTTCAATATGTTTTCCCGTATATGTTTATTCTCATTGTGATTAGAGTAGCCAAAGTCTTGAAAAGAAATTTTACTAACCAGTCCTTTATTCCCACACGAATTTCTTTGTTCTTTTCATCGCCTTTGCTAGTATTGGTTGGGGCCGTAATCTTCTCCTTAGCATTATTACGTTCATCGCTCAGTGACTCTTCAAAACACTTGTAATCTTCCTCCTACACAGTATCGATCTTAAACAAGTTAACCAAGTGGACGAAGTGACTCAAATGTTTAAGCATGCTAAAGACTTTATTAAGACTAACTCCGGGCCATCTAATGTCAGACACAAAATCAGCTAGAAATAGCTTCTTATCCTTTGCAATTTTCTTTGATTAGGTGAATTCCGGATGCAAGCAATAATAATTCTCCGGACAACTTTGTCTAAAAGTAGATTCCCAGGAAACTTGAATCCTATCCTTGGTACCCACATTACCAGAAGAAGCAGAGAATAGGAATGAAACAGGACAAAGATGTTCTATCCCCGGGTTGTTAATTAGGTGACTACGTAAAATATTTCTTCCGATCAATGCTCAACATGGACGACTTTGACTGTTAAATAATCGGCTAATCAACACAAATCAGTGAAGCTAATAACAGTTTTCTGTGAGAACCCATCTCATAAAGCAAGATGAGTATCATATAACCTTACCGACAGATTGCGGGCCCTGATGCGTGCTGCAGCCTTGATGGCAGCCAGGAGGTGATCCTCTTCCTCAATGCGCTTCTGCCTCCAGAACTTGGCAATCTCTCGGTTTGTTACACTCACTGCAGTAGTCCTCCTTGCCCAGATTCTTGGAACTGGTGGCGGAGGAGGTGGAGGTGGGGAGGTTGCCTGTTTAGACTTACCAATGACACTGTCCGTTTCCACCTTCATTTGATTCATATTCATAAAACTTTTTGGTTGAATATGCTAGTTAGCTTTGTCTCAAGTCCAAGTTTGAGATGATCAGATGAAATAACAAAATAATAGGGGACACAAATATTTAATACATGAAAAGCCACTTCCATAACCAATCTCCCGACCTACTAATCCAACCTAACTTTCAATTGCAAGTGATATATTGGTTTCTTAGGTGCTCTATGGTTTTGAATTTTGGAAGGTCTTAGCTGGTTTCTCACCAGCACGCAAGGTTATACATGTGAAGGAATAAAGGCAACTAAAAGTTTTGACCGGTAGATGCAATTTCAAGCAATAAGAATTTACAAGCGAAGACGAGTAAGTAAGATATGGATAATCCATACTCCAGATTGAAAGATAGTGCGATAGAAAAAGTTAGGCAGAAAAAGAAAATCTGGAAATGTTTTAAATCAATATTTCTACAGTCAAACACATACCTACCACTGACCCCAACTCAAAATCAAGTAGTATTAAAGCGCCTAACAGTCCAGAGCAATCCAATCCAGAAAATTGTTTGGGTTAACACTTTATATTTAATAAGTAACAGACGAATGAGAATAATCGTTAACAGTGGACTTTCCCTGCAACTTAAACCACGGAATTGACTGATGCAGCAGGGTAAATTGCAGAAAAGAATTTAAGAGTCATTAGCGACCAGTGTTTACTATTCCAATGATACCAGGTTCAGTAAAAAAATTTAACAGTGAAAACCAAAACCAGCAATTGCCCGATCTGGGATCAATTAGACCTGCTAACAGTTGAGTCTAATTGATTCTAAATTTGAAGTTATAACTTGGCAACCCACCTGTGCAAAAGAGTAAGCATTGCAAATTTGTAACAGTTGGTTGAATAAGGTTTGAACTAATACTTCATTCTTTTTTTTTTCATGGATTATGTTCATTTTATTAAAAAAAAAAAGAATGTATAAAAAAATAACAATAATACATTAGGAAAATAGTAACAAATAGTAAAAACATAAAAAAGTGATAAATTATAAACATAGTAACATATAAAAAAATGGTAAAAAATAAGAAAAAAATGAAACCTTAGTACAAAAGGTACTAGACATTAAAAAATATAATATATAAGAAAAAAAAAACAAATAAGAAAATTAGTTATATATAAAATAGTGGTAACCTATAAGAAAAAATGATAATTCGTAACAAAACATAATCACATATTAAAAAAATGATAATTTATAAGAAAAACTAGTAATATGAGAAAAAAATAATGTATAAGAAAAAATAGTAATATATAAAAAAGAAAAACATATAAGCAAAAATGGTAATTTCTAACAAAATGTAGTAGCACATAATAAAAGTGATAAAACATAAAAAAATATAAGTAATAAAAATATAAAAAAAGGAATAATACGTAATAAATAATAGCACATAACAAAAAATAATAACATATAAAAACTGGTAATTCATAAAAAATAGTAACATATAACATATCAAAGTACTTTCTTTTTTTTTTATATTGATAATGTTATAAAGTATTTATTCAATATTATTTAGAATTTTTAATAAAAGTTAAAAAATATATATAAGTATCATGTTGTTGATCTTATTTTGTATTTTTATATTTTATCTCATGTCTTATAAACTATAAAAAAATTAAATTAGTATTTGATTTAAATTAGTTAAAAACAAATATCATTAGTAAGAGAAAATAAAATTTAAAGAAAATATCTGAAATAGAATAAAATTATATATTTTTTAATATTGACAATGAAAAAAATCCTACATTTTTTACTTGTAAAAAATGTTAAACTCAATTATATAGTTTTATTTTCATTTAAAAAATAACAATATTATATGTTTGTGTTTATTTGATATTTAAAATTTTAATATATTTAATATCATGAGTTTTTGTTATATTTGTGTTAATTTTTATTTAAACTTTTTATATATTTGATATTATAAGAAATATTTTAAATTATTTTATTAAAAGTCTGTTTTATATTTAGAAAATGTTAAATTTGCATTAAATAAAAGTTTTAAATAAATATATTGCATAATAAATTTACCTCCACTTAAAAAAAATTCTAAATCCGCCCTATAACAAATAAAAAAATTATAACACATAGCAAAACAAGATAACATATAAAAAAATAATATAAAATAGTAACATATAAAAAATTGATAATCATAAATGTTAACACATAATAAAAAGTAATAACACATAAAAATATTATCACAAAAAATTATTCCACAAAATATGTATTAATAATGTCATATTATTGATTTATTTTTTTCAACAAAAGTTAGAGTTTATATTTTTAATCAATTTACTCGTACTTTTTTCTCCACTCTAAAACATTGGACTTTGAAAATTTTTTTATTTTATATTTGAATATAATTATTTTTATTTTTAAATAATTATTTATTTATTTATTTATTACATCCGCGTAATGAGCGTGTATTAGGCTAGTAAATTATTAAGAGATAAAAAGGGATTTGGGCTTAGGCCTCACTTCTCAAAGCCCAACCAATTGTTGGACAGTTGGAGGGCACTGCTTAACTTAAGCTTAACATGTTGCGCAATGCGCATCCCATTCACGATAGTCTCTGGAAAAGTCGGTCGCATAGCGTGTCTAGGGCTTCTCTAGTATGTCTATAAATAAGCCCTTAGGGCCTCTCTTTCGTTGTGTTTGCAGAGTTTCTCTGTGGAGAGCTTCTTGTTTCCTTGACAAATTTCTCTCTCTCTCAAATTAAACCGGGAAATTCCAAAAAGAAAGTCGGTAAACGAAAAAGAGCACAAAAGAACCAAAACAAAACTGGAAAAAAAATAATTTCGCAATTAAAATAAGCTGTAGTCTGAGTGAGAAATTAGGGTTAGGATTTTTTTGATCGAATCGGATCGCCATGGATTTGCGATTCCCTTACTCGCCTGCGGAGGTCGCCAAGGTCCGCATGGTCCAGTTTGGCATCCTCAGCCCCGACGAAATTGTAAATTTCAATTTCTCACCTCTATATTTTCTCATTTTTCTTTGCAAGTCTGTTTGGTTGCCTGGAAACCATGGGAAAAAGAAAAAGAAAAAAAAAAGACTTGGAAATGTAGAATTTGAACTGCCTACTACTATGCGGTTCTTTATTTAACTACAAAATGAAGTTGCTGCGACTTTTTTTTTTTTACCCTTTTTCTCTCTTTGCTCGAGCTTGTTAATTGAGAAATTATGATTTTGATTTCCTTGGTTTTTCCAGCGGCAAATGTCGGTGGTGCAGATTGAGCATGGTGAAACGACGGAAAGGGGAAAACCTAAAGTGGGCGGTTTAAGTGACCCGCGGCTGGGCACAATTGATAGGAAAATGAAGTGTGAGACGTGTACGGCCAACATGGCAGAGTGTCCAGGGCATTTTGGGCACTTGGAGCTTGCCAAGCCTATGTTTCATATTGGGTTTATGAAAACTGTGCTCAGTATAATGAGATGTGTCTGCTTCAATTGCTCTAAAATTCTTGCTGATGAGGTACTACTATGATTGATTAGGTCATTTCTTTTTTGAATTTGAGCTAAAAGTAATTTTAGCAGGTTGACAACTTCTAATTGTTGGATACATGATATTAGCATTATTCTGGATTTGGATTATTAGTTGCCATCTGCTACAAAGAGCATAAATACTTCTGAAGGAGCGTGAGTAATTTGCACGCTGTTTGATATCAGAATTTGAACTTATAGAAATTTAGCGTGAAGCATATAAAAGGAAATACATGTTTTAATGGTTTATTTTATGAGTTGACAATATTGACTGTTGGGGTAGTGAGTGTCATTTGTTTTCAGAGTAATCTTTATTTTTTCCCTTTTTTAAACTACAATTGTTTTGGATTATGAGTACAGTTTCATTTAAAGGTGGATTTTAGCGTGTTTTCATATTTTTATTTTCTTATATTCCTGTGTTGGCTTTCTATGCATGTCCCCTTTGTGTTCATTATCGGGCTTACATTATACCACATTAGAGCAAATATACCTTTTCACATGATGCCATTCTCTAATTTAATTGTTGCTTTTCCAGGAAGACCATAAATTTAAGCAGGCATTGAAGATAAAGAATCCAAAGAACAGGCTGAAAAAGATCTTAGATGCATGCAAGAATAAAACTAAATGTGAGGGTGGTGATGAGATTGATGTCCAAGGTCAAGATACTGAGGAGCCAGTAAAAAAGAGTCGTGGTGGCTGTGGTGCTCAGCAGCCAAAGCTAAGTATTGATGGTATGAAGATGATTGCTGAGTATAAGGCCCAAAGGAAGAGGAACGATGATCAGGAACAACTTCCTGAACCTGTAGAAAGAAAACAGACTCTTACTGCTGAACGGGTAGCCATATGTGCATATATGTTGCTTGTATTATTATATTATTATTATTCTTTGTTTAACCTTTTTTGAGATATTATATTCATCTTCTGTTGTGTTTTCTAGGTTCTTAGTGTCTTGAAGAGGATAAGTGATGAGGACTGCCAACTATTAGGCTTGAATCCTAAGTATGCTCGTCCGGATTGGATGATTCTTCAAGTACTTCCAATACCTCCACCTCCTGTGAGACCCTCTGTGATGATGGACACTTCCTCTCGGAGTGAGGCAAGTTTCTTTTATGTTGCTTTTTAACATTAAGATCTTTGAAGTTATATCCATATACATTAAGATTTTTATGTATTAGATCAAATCTGAATTCTCATGTTTGCTGAGTCCAGGATGACTTAACACATGCGTTGGCTATGATTATTCGGCACAATGAGAACTTGAGGAGACAGGAGAGAAATGGGTCACCTGCACATATAATATCCGAATTTGCACAGTTGTTGCAGTTTCATGTAGCAACATATTTTGACAATGAGTTACCTGGACTGCCCAGGGTATTGTGCTTACTTCTACATTTTTAAAGTCGTGTATTAATGAGATCTATTCATCCATATGACTGTATTGTTGAAGATAACATGTATCTATTTGTTGTGTAGGCTACACAGAGATCTGGGAGGCCTATTAAATCTATTTGTAGTAGGCTTAAGGCGAAAGAGGGCCGGATTAGGGGTAACTTGATGGGAAAAAGGGTTGACTTTTCAGCTCGAACAGTAATTACACCAGATCCAAATATCAACATTGATGAACTTGGAGTACCTTGGAGTATTGCTTTAAACCTCACATATCCAGAAACTGTTACTCCATATAACATTGAGAGGTAAATATCTTCTTAGATTTTTTAATTTTCTTTCACATTTGGCCAATTGTTAGGAGCAGAGCTATCTTTGAAACAGGTTGAAAGAGCTTGTGGAACATGGGCCCCATCCTCCACCAGGAAAGACCGGTGCTAAATATATCATAAGAGATGATGGACAAAGGCTTGATCTCCGTTACCTGAAGAAAAGTAGTGATCATCACCTAGAACTTGGTTATAAGGCATGCTTCTATCTCTGACAGGTCTGTTGGACATTGGTTTATGGTTCCTTGTGTTGTAACTGTCACCATTATGGCTGCAGGTGGAGCGGCATTTAAATGATGGAGATTTTGTCCTTTTTAATCGTCAACCTAGTCTCCATAAAATGTCAATCATGGGCCATAGAATCAAGATTATGCCATACTCAACGTTTCGTCTAAATTTATCTGTTACTTCTCCGTACAATGCTGATTTTGATGGTGATGAAATGAATATGCATGTTCCTCAATCGTTTGAGACAAGAGCAGAGGTGTTAGAGCTCATGATGGTGCCCAAGTGCATTGTGTCCCCTCAGTCAAATAGACCTGTTATGGGGATTGTCCAGGATACACTTTTAGGATGCCGTAAAATCACCAAGAGGGATACTTTCATAGAAAAGGTGATGGGGATATAACTACTTCATTTAATATGACTACTTAAATATTACACATTTCTTGTAGTTGTGACTTGTGATGTGAATCTAATTTATATGGGGGGTTTTTGCAGGACGTTTTCATGAATATATTAATGTGGTGGGAAGACTTTGATGGAAAGGTTCCGGCCCCTGCAGTTCTAAAGCCACGAGCGCTTTGGACAGGGAAGCAGGTTTTTAATCTTATCATACCAAAGCAGATAAATCTGCTGAGAGCTTCTGCCTGGCATTCAGAAACCGAGACTGGGTTTATCACCCCTGGGGATACTCAAGTTCGAATAGAAAAAGGGGAGTTGCTGTCTGGCACTCTTTGCAAGAAGACACTTGGAACATCTTCTGGAAGTCTTATACATGTCATTTGGTATGTGTTTATGCAAATTTTGTTGATCTTTTTATATTTTGGGATAGCTAATTCATTGCAGAAGTTTGATGAGCTCTAAATCTTACAAGTTTTGGGTATCAGATTTTGCTTTTTGAAATATTTTCTTTTCTAAGTGAAGCTGAATCCTTATTGTTAACTAAGATTGTGAAGAATTTACTCTTGAATTACTTTCCATTTGATTGGGTAATGGTTTGGTTTAAGCTTTTTTCAAAACTACCGTGCTTATTTACTTCTTGAGAAATATGGATTCTTACAACATGTGCGATTGGCTTTGTACTTCATCCCATTAATATTTTAAAATAATTGGTTTTGTTAATGTCTTTTTTTAACAGGGAAGAGGTTGGTCCTGATGCGGCCAGGAAATTTTTGGGACATACACAATGGCTTGTTAATTATTGGCTGCTGCAGAATGCCTTTAGTATTGGTATTGGAGATACAATTGCTGATGCAGCAACAATGGAGAAAATTAATGAAACTATTTCTACAGCCAAAGAGGATGTGAAAAAGCTCATTATTAAAGCCCAAAACAAGGATCTAGAGCCTGAACCAGGTAGAACTATGATGGAATCCTTTGAAAACAAAGTTAACCAGGTACCCGAAGTTAAATTGCTAAAGCTCTCTTTTATCCGGACATCTTTCTGTTGCATGCTAATATGGTTCATTTCTTCAGGTGTTGAATAAAGCTCGTGATGATGCAGGAAACAGTGCCCAGAAAAGTTTGTCAGAAAGCAACAACCTTAAGGCGATGGTCACTGCAGGATCCAAGGGAAGTTTCATTAACATATCCCAAATGACAGCTTGTGTCGGTCAGCAGAATGTTGAGGGAAAGCGAATCCCATTTGGGTTCATAGATCGTACATTGCCCCATTTTACCAAGGATGATTTTGGCCCCGAAAGTCGTGGTTTTGTAGAGAATTCATACCTGCGGGGGTTGACCCCACAAGAGTTCTTTTTCCATGCCATGGGTGGTAGAGAAGGTCTCATAGATACTGCTGTAAAGACTTCAGAGACTGGGTACATACAAAGGCGACTTGTGAAGGCTATGGAGGATATTATGGTTAAATATGATGGAACTGTTAGGAACTCATTGGGGGATGTTATTCAATTCCTCTATGGTGAAGATGGCATGGATTCTGTATGGATAGAATCTCAGAAGCTGGATTCTTTGAAGATGAAGAAATCAGAATTTGATAGGGTCTTCAGATATAAAATAGATGATGAGAACTGGAATCCAATTTCTTTTATGTTACCAGAACATATTGAAGATTTGAGAACTATCCAAGAATTGCGTGATGTGTTTGACGCTGAAGTTCAAAAGCTTGAAGCTGATAGATACCAACTTGGAACAGAGATTGCAGTCACGGGTGATAGTAATTGGCCTTTGCCTGTTAACTTGAAGAGGCTTATCTGGAATGCCCAGAAGACTTTTAAAGTTGATTTTAGAAGGGTGTCAGATTTGCACCCAGTGGAAATTGTAGATTCTGTTGATAAGCTCCAGGAAAGGTTAAAGGTTGTTCCAGGTACAGATCCTCTGAGTGTGGAAGCCCAAAAGAATGCAACCCTCTTCTTTAGTATTTTGCTTCGCAGTACTTTGGCCAGTAAAAGGGTGTTGCAGGAATATAGACTGACAAAAGAAGCATTTGAGTGGGTTATTGGTGAAATAGAGTCACGATTCTTGCAGTCTTTAGTAGCACCTGGTGAGATGATAGGTTGTGTTGCTGCTCAATCAATTGGTGAGCCTGCTACTCAAATGACTCTTAACACCTTCCATTATGCTGGTGTCAGTGCAAAGAATGTTACCCTTGGTGTCCCTAGGTTGAGGGAAATTATTAACGTAGCTAAGAAAATCAAAACACCTTCTCTTTCAGTCTACCTCTCTCCTGAAGCTAGTAAGACAAAGGAGAAGGCCAAGAATGTACAATGTGCTTTAGAATACACTACTCTTCGGAGTGTTACTCATGCTACTGAAGTATGGTATGATCCAGACCCAATGAGCACAATTATTGAGGAGGATATTGACTTTGTTAAGTCCTACTATGAAATGCCAGATGAAGAGGTTGCCCCAGAAAAAATCTCCCCTTGGCTGCTTCGCATAGAGTTGAATCGTGAGATGATGGTTGATAAGAAATTGAGTATGGCTGACATAGCTGAGAAGATCAACCTTGAATTTGATGATGATTTGACTTGCATATTTAACGATGACAATGCAGAGAAGCTGATCCTACGTATCCGCATCATGAATGATGAGGCTCCAAAGGGTGAATTGACTGATGAGTCTGCTGAAGATGATGTATTCCTGAAGAAGATTGAAAGCAACATGCTGTCAGAAATGGCCCTTCGTGGTATCCCTGACATCAACAAGGTGTTCATTAAACATGGTAAAGCAAGCAAGTTTGATGAGGCTGATGGATATAAGACTGGAGAAGAGTGGGTGCTGGATACAGAAGGTGTCAATCTTTTGGCTGTCATGTGCCATGAAGATGTTGATTCAAGGAGAACAACAAGCAATCACTTGATTGAAGTGATTGAAGTTCTTGGAATTGAAGCAGTTCGTCGGTCCTTGTTGGATGAATTGCGGGTTGTGATATCGTTTGATGGGTCTTACGTGAATTATCGGCATCTTGCTATTCTTTGTGATACAATGACCTATCGTGGCCACTTGATGGCCATCACCCGTCATGGCATCAACCGCAACGATACAGGGCCTATGATGAGGTGCTCATTTGAAGAAACTGTAGATATTCTCCTTGATGCTGCTGTTTATGCTGAGTCCGATTATTTGAGGGGTGTGACAGAGAATATAATATTGGGTCAGCTTGCACCAATTGGCACCGGAGACTGTGCGTTGTATCTCAATGATGAGATGTTGAAGAATGCCATTGAACTTCAGCTACCTAGTTACATGGAAGGTCTGGAATTTGGCATGACACCTGCTCGTTCTCCAGTGTCAGGAACTCCTTATCATGAAGGCATGATGTCTCCAAGTTACTTGCTGAGCCCGAATCTCCGTCTCTCACCCATTTCGGATGCTCAGTTCTCACCTTATGTTGGTGGGATGGCATTCTCTCCTGCGTCATCCCCTGGTTACAGCCCATCATCTCCAGGATACAGTCCTTCATCTCCTGGTTATAGTCCTACCTCTCCTGGTTACAGTCCTACATCTCCCGGGTATAGTCCCACCTCTCCTGGGTACAGCCCTACATCTCCTACTTACAGTCCTAGTTCACCAGGTTACAGTCCGACAAGTCCGGCATATTCTCCTACAAGTCCCTCTTATTCTCCAACCTCGCCTAGCTATAGCCCTACCTCTCCAAGCTACAGTCCTACATCTCCAAGTTACAGTCCCACTTCTCCAAGCTATAGTCCCACATCTCCCAGCTATAGTCCAACTTCACCTAGCTACAGCCCCAGTTCACCCGTTTATAGCCCAACTTCTCCAGCATATAGCCCAACTTCACCTGCATATAGCCCCACTTCTCCATCATACAGCCCAACATCCCCATCATACAGCCCGACGTCTCCTTCCTACAGCCCAACCTCACCCTCCTATAGCCCCACATCTCCATCTTACAGTCCTACTTCACCAGCTTATAGCCCCACTTCTCCAGGGTACAGTCCAACTTCACCAAGTTATAGTCCAACATCACCGAGCTATAGCCCTACCTCTCCAAGTTACAATCCACAGTCAGCCAAGTACAGTCCATCTCTGGCATACTCACCAAGCAGTCCAAGGTTGTCTCCTTCCAGTCCTTACAGTCCCACATCACCAAATTATAGGTAAGCCATGGTAGACTAAATCACTTTCTTGTTTGTTGCTGTTGACTATCAGATGATGTTGTTATTTTAGTTTATTCCCAATTTTCCTTGGTTTTAGTGAATTCATTTTCATTTTAAGTAATGCGCTTGTAACTCTATTTTTGGTTTAATTTTTTTTTTCTGAGTTGCAGCCCAACATCACCATCATATTCACCGACTTCTCCATCTTATTCCCCTTCAAGTCCAACATACAGTCCTAGCAGGTAACTTTTCATTTTATTGTATGTAATTGAATAGGTTAATTTAGGAAGTTGTTGTCAGTGAGATGTGTCTTAAAGCTTCCGCTTATTGTATTTTCATACCGAAGCAAATGGTTATTATTGATTTCTGATACATTTTTGTTCTAAATGCCTTTCAATACCATTTTTTGTTTTCTTTCTCTGAAACCAGCCCATATAATACTGGAGTGAATCCAGACTACAGCCCAAGTTCGCCACAGTACAGGTAAGCAGACTTGAATGTTGAATTTAAAATTTGCTCTATTTTGTTTTTTTATGCGGCCAATGTTCTGTGCAGTCCAAGTGCTGGGTACTCCCCTAGTGCTCCCGGGTATTCACCATCATCAACTAGTCAGTACACTCCAAGCAACAAGGATGATCATGCGACCAAGGATGATAGAAACAGTAAAGATGACAGGAGTAAACATTGAGGCATGCTAATTTTGCAAAGCTTGAGAGGAAACCAAGGTTGATTTGATCTTTAACTCTAAAATTGTTGCAGTGTTTGAAATTGGTTCCATGTTACTTATTTCCATTAGGCTGCTCTTCAAATTTCCAAAGGCTTTTAAAAATTTTGGAAGGACACCTCTGAACCGTCATCTCTAACATAGCTTGGGTTTTTATGTGATAGGGAAATGACCGGAAGATCTTTGTTTTTTAATGTAATTTCTAAGTACATCATTTTCAGCATTTAATGATTTACTTGAATGATGGATGCATATCTGACTTGGTCTCAGTTTTCTCCAGTTTGCAGTTCCAGTGAGGGTGGTGGCCGGCTGGGTGTTCCAACATTCTGCGGGCGGAACGAGGCAAAATGCTTAGAGTTGGGATCTCTTTTTTTTACTTTCTTTGTAACATTTCTTGTAAAAAATTAAACTGTATAAATGGAGTTATCTCTTGAAAGATTCGTACTGTCCGTAAAGTTTATTAGACCACTTCATTGCTAAATCATTTTACGTTGGTCGCATGGAATGAATGAGAATCAGCCTGTTGAAAGACATTGAAAAGACAGGAAATTGATCTTTGCTTGAGCTTTTTTCTGGGTGTTTTTTTTTTTTTTTCGCCAATAGCTTTTTCTGGTTAAATGGGAGCAGGCTGCGTAACTAAGCAAGCCATTGTGTACAAGGAAAAGGAAGTGAAGTAGTGTGCATTTAACAAAGTAAAAAATTTTTGTTGATAAATTTGATAATGGAAATTTTCTCTAGTATTAGTTAAAAAAAAGTTGAGATGATAAATTTTTAAATTTTATGATAAAAAAGTGTTTAATTTATTTATTTCTTTTATTTTGGGAAGGGAAAATAAAAAACATGTTTTTGTTTTGATATTAACAATAATTGTCCTGTTATTATTTTAATTCTTAAATACTGAGAATATGAAGAAAATTTACGTCATCCATTTCATACTCTTTTAAAAGAGTGTTGGGGGCACAGAAGCTCGTCATGTCAACAGCATTGAATCTCTCTCTCAGTCATCTATTTTCGATCAATGAGAAATTTCATCGACGTTGGCATCTGCGCGTGAAAACCCAAATTTCTCAATTTCCAATCCCGCGTTCTAGGGTACCCTCTCTCTTCCTCAAAATGGTAAGCCCTCACATCTTCTTCTGTTCACGTTTCTTTTTTCCTTTTGCTTTTTACTTTAGTTGGTTAAGAATTACTTGATTTTAAATGCGTTTTTTGTTATGACACAGGCGGATTCTCCTCGTAAAAGGTAAGCTCTGTTTCTCATCGTTTTGTTTAGCTTTTGATCTCTGGCTATACTTCTTGTTTTGGCTTAGTTCTTTCAAATGTATTATCGGGAATCCCTAGATTAGACAAGTTTGGTTGATTTAGGGATTTGATGTGCATTCACCCCAAAGTAATTGCGAATATTTTTCTTTTTTTTTAAAGATGAGCTGAAGTAAGCTTTCTCTGTTGATTCTGTACTCTGTGGTTTCTGGAAAAAAAAATGGAGAATCTTAGTAAAGGGATGGTCTGGGCGAGTGTAAGAACAATGTAAATTATTTGCCAAGTTATTTGCTTTATCTCTTTTTCCTCTTTGGTTGTTTAATACTATGTATTTCGAGCATTGGTTTTACATGGAGCATTCCACCTTTTTGCCAAGCTTGTTATTCAGTTGCTTTTACATCTATATCCATTTTTATCTAATATGTTTGCTGGCTGTTTCAGGAATTCTCAGTCTCCTTCCCCATGGAGAGAGCAGTCAAGGTCACCATCCAGATGTAGACCCAGGTCTAGGTCTGGGTTGAGATCCCGCTCCTGGTCAAGGTCAAGGCCAAGGCATAGGTCCAGGTCACATAGTCGGGGCAGGTTTGTGGTCCACCTGCTTGATTTCAGTTTACCATAAATTCTGTGGTAGTATAGCTTATCCTTTTTCCTTTGGTTTTTTCTGGTCCAGGTCAAGGTCAAGAAGTCGTGGCAGGGCTGATGCTGGAAACCCCGGAAACACACTTTATGTGACTGGTCTATCTCAAAGGGTAACAGAGAGGGACCTAGAAGAGCACTTCTCCAAGGATGGAAAGGTTGGTTTGTTGTTATAAACTCAAAATTGTGGGTGTTTTGCTGTCATTATTTTAGTACTATTATCCAATCTCTATGTACTAGTAATGAGTTGATTTTGTTTTAAAGGTTGCATCATGTTTTCTCATTGTGGAACCTCGTACTTGAATATCTCGTGGTTTTGCTTTTGTTACTATGGACAATGTTGAGGATACCAACCGCTGTATCAAGTATCTCCACCAATCAATTTTAGAGGGTCGATACATAACTGTGGAGAGGGTAATCTGATTCTATCCTTGTTGCTTAGAATTTACTGTTTTGTGTGCTTGTCATCCTTCTTAACTTGAAGGTTTTCTGGCTATATTCAGAACATATTGCGTCAGCTATGTTGGCAGCAATCAAAGATGATGAGTTCATCCATCTCAACTTAAGTCAAACAAGCTTGATCAATGGCCAGCTAAAATAGCTTTTCAAATGCATGTGATCAACTAAATTAGCAACTATTTTGCCCAACAATTGTACAACCTCAGCATTCAATTCCAACACTCAACTAATCAACGGTGATATAACAACTTCATAATCAGGCTTTATTGGTATTTCACATCTGGCATTCATATAATAGGCATTACTTGTGTCCGGATGTGTATCATGCTTTTCTTCTTCCCTTGCTTTGAATGGCCTTTTTTTTCACCTTCCAGGTAATCTTCCAAATGGAGTGTTTTCCTTTTCAGAGTAACATTTTTGTTTTCTGATGATGATATAATTTCTGTAAATGGTGTATGATGCTGTTGCTCCAGGCCTTCATTATTTTTATAATGCTACCCAAATAGTTGCCCTGGTTGAATATTAAGGATGTTTACCTTACTTTTCAGTCATGCAGGATACGGCCAAGAACTCCCACTCCAGGGCATTAGCTGGGACTGAAAAATACCAGGGACTATGGTAAGTTTGAAAATTTAAATAATTTTTATTTGTTACAAAACTGGACTTGATGATTTTAAGATGTGACTGATATTTTGGATGATGTTCTTGTATTGGGGAAAAGGTCGGGGTGAGTGTGGTAGGTACCCTGGTGGTTGTGATGACTGGATTTTGTCGATCTCCAAGGCGCTCACCATATAGAGGTCGTGATTATTCTCCAAGATATTCGCGCATGGTGGAAGGTCAAGGAGGGAACGCTCTTATTCACCTCATTCTCGTGGTTCTAGGTGAAGTTTTTCGTTTGGGGGCAACATCTATAAGGGGAAAAGACGTAGAACTTGTCAAGTCTTATTGGTGTTGAATGTTGATGTAATGAGTAGTTTTGATGAGCTTAAAGATTAATGTTTTTGGTTGTTTTTCATCTCTTTATTAAGCATGTTGTTGTATGTTACTATTGAACTTTGGTTGGACAGATTATCTCTGGTTGCGGATCTTGATTTTTTTATGGAAAGTATGAATCTGATTTCTGAACTTTGTTTACATCTTTGACTGTAAACCAGCTTCGAGGTTCCAGCCCTGGAAATTGGATTTTTTTTGCAGCGAACCACATGAACTGCTTTTCTCATGGTAAGCTTCCTGTTTCTCAGAAATGGAAATTGTCTTATACTGTATGATTGCAATGTTGATTATAACAATGGTCGGTAAACCTCGATTTCAAATTTAACCTGCCTCCATTCCATTGAGAACAATTTCGGCTAGTTTGCTGGTAATTATTAAAATCTGAAGTTAACTTTTCCTTTTGGGACAAATGAAAGACATAGTTATTTGTCGTCCTTAACATTTAATTGAACTGAAAAAAAAAAAAAAAAGAATTTTCTTTCTCGCAAAAGAATATGCTAATTTATTTTTAAAAAAAGAACTGCTTGGTGGCTTGTTTTTGTTTCTATGGACTTTCTATTGACCCACCTTCATCAGGCCTCGAGTTACGACCCGATAAAATTACATACACGAGTTACGACCCGATAAAATAGTCAATGCTGTTTTTTCTGGTGCTTAACTGAAGTTAAGGTGGTGCAAAACAGGAAAACAGAGCAATGTCAGTCTCCTGTCCACTAAACCACTCAAGCCTCAAAATCTTCATATTCTATACTCTTTCTACACCTCCCAATCTCTCTCTGCCCCAAAACTTGTATTTCCCTCGAAAGTTGCACTCCATCTCCTCTTCCTTCTTGTCCTCTTACATCCCCCAAAATGACGACGTCGATGACGAAGAACACGTCATCGGCGATTGCCTCGTCTTTGAAGACGGCGCTTTCCAAGACCCTTTTCTCCACCCTGACTCCAGCTTTGACAATCCCAATACGAGCACGACAATCGCTAAAGCAAAACCCAACAACAACAACAAGAAGAAACAATCAGCGGAAATTGAGGCCGAGAATTTGGTTCCAGAGCAATGGCGACATGTTCAGGAAGAGTTATATATAACGAAGAAAGAAAGACGGAAAATGGCCCACCAGTTGGAGTTTGGGAGCAGATTTGAGAAGAGGAGGCAAGGTTTGGTCCCTACAAGGAACTTGAATATGCAAGAACACTTGAAGTATAAAGAGCCTAAATTGGCTCAATTGAATCCTGTGGTTCTTGATAAGCCTTCGAGCTTTCCCATGAAGGAGGATAAAAAGAATGAAGAAGAGTCAAAAGAGGCTGAAATGAATCTGCCATCTTCGAGTGAGCGCGTGGCGCCTAAGAATCCCAGGTGGGCAGTTTACGGTAAGGGCTTCGAGGATGTTGCTGAGTTTTTCAACAGCGAGAACTATCAGCTGGGCGAGAAAAAATCTGAAGGTAACTCCTTTTTGTTTAGGCCTTGGAAATTTAGGAATTATCTATATGTAACCTTTTATTTCCCATATAGCTTTGTTTGTTCTTTTTCTTTTATTGCAACTAGTAAATTGTTTATGAATCTTCTGTGCTTGAATATGTAGGTTCACGTAAGTTGTTTACAAAGGAGGAAAAACTTATGTTAAATAGGCGTGTACCTGATTTAGCAGCTGCTACTTCTGTAAGTTTCTGAAGCTCTTGATTGTTGGTTAAAATTGCATTTTCTGGCCTCGTCTGTTTGGATTATTCTGTTGGATCCTGGATCTTCCTGTTGGTGTTGGGAAAGTATCTCATTTGCTGTGAAGCCAGCGTCTTTAACGGTTAACTGTATCTGTTATTATGTATTTAGTGTGAGAAATGACAATCTTTCTTGGCGTGTTGCTGAAATTTTTATAGGGAAAATGGCTACCTCTTCACACTCTTGCAGCTTCAGGAGAGTTTTATCTCGTCAATACTTTATTGAAACACAATATTGACATCAATGCTGTGGACAAGGTATTAAAATGATCTCCTGATGACAGGACAAATTCTGGTCTTTCGTTCATTGTCATGTAAATTATGTATTTTCTGTGCTCTCTGTCATTTCAACAATTACATGCTAATGCACAAGGAGACTTTCATCACATTCTCTCTTTACCTTTTTTTTATGCTTTAAGTTTTCAAATTCTTTGCAGAATGGTTTGACTGCACTTCACAAGGCAATTATTGGAAAAAAGCAGGCCATTACCAACTATCTTTTAAGAGAATCGGCTAATCCATTTGTTCGTGATGAAGTAAGTATGTGCTTAAGCTATAAATAAAAGCAAATGATTACTTCTCTAGATATTTGTGAGAATTTTAGATTTCAGTTGTTTAATTGGGCTTCCGGTTTCTTGTCATTTTGGTGTTTTTGTCATCAAATTGCTGGACATTTCCCCAGCAGACAACCTTATTTGCCATTGTTGTGATTATTTTCTATGTTTTAGTTTCATCATGGATAAGTGTTCATACAAAGAAAAAGAAAGGGAGAGGGGGGCTTGAGATACTCTGAAAATATATGTTGTCTACTGACTGAGAGTGATTCAGCTCGATTTATGGGTTAATATGAACTTTTACCTTTTGTCCTGCCAACAGGATGGGGCCACCTTGATGCATTATGCTGTCAATGCAGTATCAACTCCTACAATTAAACTTCTTCTGTTATATAATGTTGATATAAATCTTCAGGACAATGTATGGTTAACGATTCCTAGTTTGTTGCTTTTTGAGTTTGTTTTCTGTACTTATGTTCCATTTGGTAATCCATTTGTTTAGACTTTTGCCTTTTGCCTTTCTAGGATGGTTGGACGCCATTACATCTTGCTGTTCAAGGTAGAAGAACGGATATAGTGAAGCTTTTATTAATTAGAGGTGCAGATAAGATGTTGAAAAACAAGGTAAGGATATTGTGATTCTTAACTAATGTTATGTTAACCAGTTCCTTCACAATTCTTTAGGTGGTTGGTTTTTTAACCTGCAAGGTGTTAACTAATATTTTTCGCTTTTTTGGCTTAAATTTTTCCTTCACGAGCAGCACATATGGCTATTCCCTCATCTTTAGTTCTCCAGTTATATCAATGCATTTGAGGCTTTTGCTTGTTTCAGGATGGTTTAAACCCACTTGACTTTTGCCTTTACTCTGGTCGAGACACAAGAACATATGAATTGATCAAGCTGTTGAAGCAGCTTCCAAAGCCACGGCGGGTGATTAAGTAAGAATCAAAGATGATCGTTCTTCTAGTAGTAGTAGTAGTAGTAGTCCAAAGCCTGGTAATATTTTTTTAATGGTCATTCAGGTTCATGTAAAAGTAGATGCTGACAAGACAACTGGCAAGTTAATGATCAGAAGAATGTTTACTTGTACGCCCAATTGTTACATATCGATAAGCTTGTAACATGTAATTATGAGGAACAACCAATTCATCATTCTTCTAATGAAAATGTACCCCATGTTTCTTTATGGACTACCATGTAATGTATAGTTTTCTTTTTGGGGGTTACATTTACAAGTCAAATAAATTTAAAAACAAAGGGAGGGTTTGTGGGGAAAGTAGTTAAAAGCATAGACGAGGGAATGGTTTTTAGAAAAAGAGTTTTTGTAACTATCGTTATTGCTAACTTAAAAGTTATGTTGAATACAAAGATTTTGTTTCCGAGCGAGAAGGCCAAAACGTCATCGGTTTCTCTTTCTATCCCTTCCTAGCAATTTCCGTGGCAAACAGAATAACATAAAGTATAATCTTCGGCCTTGGTCGTCCTTACAACTACATGAACATGACCAGTACATTGTCGGTTCGATGTTTCTATATGTTTTTGTTCCCAACTACCTTTTGTTTTCTCTTCCATTCATTGGTTACTTACTTTCATTAAATAAACTCCCAAGTCCCAACCAACCAAAAGGCTGCTCTCTCCCTCTCTTTCGCTCGCTAGCTCCACCTCTCTCAGATAATGCTCGGTGCTCAACTTTGCGTCCGTACAGTCTCCACTTCTTGGATTTTCTCAAATCAATCAAATGCTGCCTACCCAACCGCTTCTTCTTCTTCTTCTTCTTCTTCTTCTTCTTCGCTCCGTTCCTCGTCCTTTCAGTCCTTTATACGTTTACATTTTCGGACGAAACGCCGTCCTTCTCCTAAACCCATCCTCATTTCTTGCCACTCCGCCCGTGGTAGCTCTGGTCCCCAATCTAGCTACGACGACAATCCAGATCACCAGTTTCTGGAAGCTTCTCTTCTCGACTCAGGTTTGCCACCGTTTTTTCTGTCAATTTTTATTAATTCGATTGGAAATGGGAATTTGTTAATTTTGGAGTTATGAATGGTGCAGAGACTATTTTGCACTACCGGATGTTGAGGCAAGGATTTCAAGAAGATATCAAATGGCAGTCATCTAGGAGACAGCTTCCAATGTCAAGGGCTAAAATTTCTTCAATTGGACAAGCCTTTCTTAGTCGCTTTCCCAGTCCAACTATTTTTCTTAAGATTCATTGTGATGGTGACTTCTTGCTACCCATTATTGTAGGTATACAAGAAATCAACAATTCTACCCTATTCCATTTGTTTCACTTAATTGTGATTGTTGTTTGAATCTGTTTTGTTAGTACTGATTAATTTGCGGTTGTAGGGGAGTTTGCTGTTGAAAAACTTATAGCTTCCTTTTGGGGAGATGATAATGGGGTAACTTCTTAATTCCAGTTACTGTTACGTAAGATTGATTGTTTTTATAGTTTGAAAGTTAGACTTATGTCTTTGTATTAATTTCTTGGCATCATTTTTTGCAGGATATTCCAGATCAGTTCCATCTTGTTAAAAATGTTGTGGAGAAGCTTGGATATGAAGTATGGAGTTGTTTTTTCTCATGTATTTAAGACATGTCTTTGTAGCTTTTATCAGTTACTTGCTTTAGTTGTTTCTTTATATCATATGTCTATTACAACTCTTTTGAATGATTGAACTTGGAGTAGATAAGTAGGAGAAATTTGTAAAATATGAAAGAGGAGAATGAAGGCCGATAGTTTCAGTCACTTCCCTACCTTCATGATCAAAATACTTGATTGTGAACCAGTTACTGGTTATACTTACTAGCTTTAACCTAGGAAAACTATGCACTTTATTGTGTGATATCTCGTCATTTATTTTCACATGTCTTCATTTCAGGTTAAAATGGTGAGAATCACAGAAAGAGTCGTCAATAATTACTTTGCAAAATTGTTTTTTAGCAAGGTGATTAAAAGATTGTTGTGTTTTTTTATGTCCTTCAGATGATACAGGAACCGGATTCAATTATTGTTTTTATGTTTACAGCCAGGGGAAAATGATGCCATAAGTGTGGATGCACAACCCTCAGATGCCATAAATGTGGCAAACAGATGCAAGGTATGTAGTGGGAAGTTATTATAAAGCAAATCTTGTGCAACATGAAAGGGGAATTGCTTGCGTTCTAGTCTTACAACATTGTCATTGGTACTCAAAACCTGATTACCCTTTCTGTCTTTGACTTACGGTGGTATAAAATATCAGTGTCCGAAGTTCAGTAAGATTACCTGGTTTAATTTGAGGAGGCTGGTCAGCAATAATCTTGCATTTGCATTTGTTGTGCCTACTCATATGCTGATGTTTCCAGAGTGGTCAGATGGCCCAGTGTTTCCAATTTGCAATCTGCTTCTCATTTTAATGTCAAATGGCTTATTCTTTCAAGGCTCAGTACCATATTCACTTCAACTGATTGGTTCTCAAAAGCTTCTGATTGGTATTTCCTGTATGCAGGCTCCAATATATGTAAATAAACAAATTGTCTTGACAGATGCTATTAGGATTGGCTATGAGATGGGCAGGGTGCGTGATACAAAGTCTACTTATGATGTATTGCTTGACAGGTATATATAGCTTATTCTGCCTTTGGTGTCTTCTAAAAAATTGTCTGACTTATAGTAACTCTAAGCTTGGTTATAAATTTCCAGTGCTGCAGATGGTCGAGATTTACTAACAGAGGAGCTGGATCTGGTGAGGAATATGAATTTAGCGGTCAAAGAAGAAAGGTACAATGATGCAGGTAATAAAAATAGATTATAATCTTCTGAATGAAAAAAAGATAAGAGAATCTGCTTTTTCTATTCCATTATAAATCTACAAAATGAATCATCACTCACAATACTGTTTTTTTCATTCCTTTGTTATCACACTTTCAAGCTCTTACTGTCTTGCACCATAAAATCAATTTAGGTTTATATAATTTCTTCTTGCAGCAATGTTAAGAGACAAACTAATGAAGCTACGCAACTTAAATCATGGCCAGTAACCTACTTTGAATATATCAACGTTTGTATATCCATTGGTTGGCCTGCTTGTGAGTTAATTCTTTTTGGATTTTACTATTGCAAGTGGAAGGATATAGATTCTGGTTTTGGAGTGTCACTGGCTGCTCAGATTGTTGTAGTTTGTAGAGCTTCAGGAAGGTGCTATGCTAAATTTCTCACCAGAAATGAGCCTTTGAACCGATTAACCCCATTAACCTAGAATTTCAGTGTTTAAGTTAAGCCTAAGGGAAATTCCTGGAATGAATGCATAATCATGTTTTACAAAAGGTGGTATGTACATAGACAATACAACTTAGAAATTGGCCATATGGTTAAGTCCTCGGCCCCTTGGCCTAGTGGCTAAGTAGGCCTTAGAGAAAACAGAGTCGAGCCAAGACCTCTACCTGCAGACCAAAAAAAAATGCTAGTTGATTTTGTTTGTATTTCTGATTATGTGATGTATACTAGAAGGCCATATTATGTTTTTCATCGAATGTAAATATCTACTTGTTGCATAAATATCCTATGGCAAACTACACTTTACCATCTTGTTGTCTACTTGGCTACCTAGCTTCCAGAAAATGGTAAAAGTATACTGTGGGTTTTGCAATGCAATGTGTTCTTTTGCTGATAGTTCTGCTATTAAAACTTTCTTCCCCTTATGAACAAATCTCTGCTGTCGTTAGCATTTTCCCATTGGAATTTCTTTTGAATAATTTAAAATAAAATAGGGAAAAGAAGCCAAAATGATTTACGGTATAAAATAACTTAACTTGGCATAAAAGCAACAAGGGAACAAAGGGGGAGGGGGACAAAACTATGATATGAAGATATTGCACCGGACAATTGTAATTCCTCCAAAAGATATTTGTTGGTCATTGTTTCCAATGCTTTGAAATTAGAGATTACAATATAAGCATGTAATAATATTGATCGTTGGTGACACGTACAAGTCACCATATATAATCAGGCAGACCATTTTCTCATTCTCAAGGAGATATGAACAATTACAGATCCGTAAATGGCTATTGAGCTGCATCAAACGAAAGCTGCAGTCAGAGTATTGTAGCATTCTTTAAACTGAATATAGTTCGTAAAGGAGTTGGAACTAGACACTGGTAGATAGGAGGTATGCGAAGACGGTAAGGTATCTTGTAGCTTCCTCTCCATGCACTGCATTATCCCCAATCTCAAAATCCTCTTCATCCATCCTTAAATTAACAATGCGGCTTATGAAAAAGGCAAGTGATGCTAGCAACAGCAGCATTCCATGCAGTGATAAAAAATTGCTCCTAGAAACTGATACCCCATTTGTCTGAGGCTACGGTGGAACTCTACCTTACTGTGGAGTAAGCCTGGACCATAACTGTCTAATTATGATGCATCATCTTGAATAGATTGGGTCTGCCAAAGAGACCAGACGGGAGAACCCCTAAAACACCAGCCACCTCATGTGTATGGAAAACCCCTAATATATGGTTCATGCTTTGGAAGAAGGCTAATTTTCTGTGTAAAATCATCATTGTGTATACCAGGGGGTTGTTCCTGACATCATCCCCATGAGGACTGCCGCCCATGGATCCACCAACCCTGCCCATGCATACATTTATCATATGTCAATGCACTTAATGTTAGAAACATAATTTTCTCCTTATTGGCTCTGCTATTTAATGCTGAAAGTGGCACACTTTCCTCGGAAAATGATTATAAAACCGCGTGAAGACCTTCTCCAGGAGTGATGCTAACAAGGCCTGTGATTATCCCCTGCACTGCATCGATGACTGAGCTTTTCTTGTACACAGCCATGAATAAAGCAAGCCAGACCAAGAGGCTGGTGGCAGTACAGGTATGGGTGTTTATTATGGCTAGAGATGTAATGAGGCCCTCGGTAAATCCATTGAAACCGGTCCATTCGATCCATAAAATTCCTGCACCTCCCAAAATTTGAATTATGTTATGAGGTGGAAAGGGCTTCCTACCATGCGAATGTCTAGGTCCCACCTGCAAACATCCGCCACAATCACCATAGAGAACAATTTATAGTTAGTAAACATCAATGAAAATGTTTGCGAAGGCAGTATCTATTTAGAAAATATTCAAATTGTCATCATCCAAATGAAAAATAATAATAATAACAAAAAAACCAGTAACCAAGTTGTCTAGATTTTCCTGCATGGTGTTACATTTGGTGTGCGATAAGGTCGGCTGTTTTTCATCATCGGTTCTCTTGCTTTAGAAAAGTTAATGGGCTGAATTGGAATGAAAATTACGAATAAGTTTTCTCAAAAAGAGAAATTCGGCTTATAGACTTTTTGGGATGGAATGTGGTGAATAAGCTACTACCGGCTCGTCTCCAGAACTTCTTTTAACAGTCATGAAGACAATTAGATGAGCATGTCAGGCACCCAACATGCAGCAGTAAAACCAGCCACCCCAGACGAAAGACGGATGATATAACCATCCGCATAATCAATAATTTTGCGCTGAAAAATTCCTTCTCCGCATACAGTGAATGCCCCATCGGTATAAGAAAACGTCAACGATAAAAGAACAAACATCATCAAGCATAGAAATTCATCCTCCCAGGCAATGATCCAGCTAGCAAAATCACAGTAATGGTAGCGAAAGCGAACTAGTAAAATATGTGGTCAACCATTGGCAAACAAGAAGCATCCATTGGTCTTGGAAGAAACACGTTTTGCAAGTGAATGAATGGGCTGCCTCACCAGTGGGCTATTATAGTTTCCGAAAGACATTCGATGGGCCATGAAAACCAGCAAAGTAGAACTGAGCCGAAGGCATAGAGGGCCATGAAAGCTCAGTTGACAGCCCATTTCTTCTTGACCATGCTCCCATAGAGATTACAAGCCCTGGAACGCTTCGCAGGCCTACAAAGGTCGTTGCTGTTGGTTGTCATGACATGCATTGTCTCCTTTGCTGAGCCATCCAGGTGATGCTTCATCAGGAGCACGCCTACCAGGAGAGAAGATAATATACCTGCAGGCTCAAATAGAAAGAGTGGCATAGAGAGGATTGAAAGATAGAATCTTCATTTTTTTTTTTTGGAAATTTTGGACTTGCTTGGTAGGTGTTTCAGTATAATGAGCAGCAATATTTGGAGTTTTTTTTTTTAAGGTGAACATCGGAATAATCCCCTTAATTTATACATTCTTCATTGTCTTTAGTTGCAGGCTGTGGATATTCATTCTATAAATAATTAATTAGAGGGTAAATAACGTTTCTATTCGCAGCTAATTAAATCGAAGGTTCTGGGAATACGCGCCTGCTGATGATATATAATGATCGAAGGCCGTTGAAATAACTAGAGAAAGACCTTGTTTGATGCCAACCAGTTAGTGCAGCGAGCAAGCAATTTGAAAGCAACTGCGTCTGCGTTGAATGTATCTTCAACACCGGACAAAACAAATTATTTTCTTTGGCTTGTGACACACTAATATATGATAGGTAGGTTTGCAGGAGCAAATAATTTGAATTTGAGGCAAATATATTTTAGGATTTCGGATGCTTTATAAAGCTACAGTTGCTTGGACGTTCACATGCATAACAATTAATAGCATACCAGTTTCTCACGTTTCTTCAAGAGTTTTATATATATAAAAAGACTGATTGTTTGAAGAGCAAATGGGAGTGTAGGATCGGATGCAATCAAAATTCTAATTTAAGTTACGAAGAAAAAAGAATTTCAAAGTTGACAATTAATGAAATTGAGATCCTGCCAGATGAATGTATATTTCGTTTCCTCATGACAAGTACCTATTTACCATCAAATTAGTTGAGAATTAATGAAATAGAGGTCATGTTTATGACAAGCACTATCCAAGTTTACAAATTATAGATATATTGAGATGCAAGTAAATTAAGTGATGAATCTTGTAAAACTCTTAACTCTTGAGTTTCGTTTGTTATCTTCGTGTGCTTAATTGTACTCTGAAAAAATAACCAAAAAGAAAGAACTCTTGGATGGTTTCAGAAGTTTGCGCACATTGCATGACAAGAAAGTGAAGTAAAAAGGAGGGGCAGGCATGAAATAACATGATCGATGATGAAAGGTCATATGTCAAGAAACTATATAATCCACATGCTTGCATTTATTCCAAACATTTTCATAAAAGAAATTGAATAGCCTCGTTCTTTCCTTAAAAAAAAAAAAAAAGTACCACATGATAATTTTTGAGTTCGTGCGAATATTTCAAATATCATACACCAAAAAGAGTAACAAAGGAAAGGAAAAGGGAGTTGTGGGGTTTTTATTTTCTTTTTTGTTTGTTCATGCACTGATCATGAGCAGATTGAAAAGCCATATGATGCTTTCTGATTGTAAAATTCAATTTCTCTACATTTAAATCGACAGTAAGTTTTAACGAGGTATATAAAACAGAAGAAGGAAAAACGTAGAAATTAAACGAAAATAATCAGGACTTACCATATTTATGCCTGCAAAGAAGCATCACAAGGCACCTCCTGGCGATATAGAACCTAGAACGCTGCTCCTTCACCATGGCCAGACCCCTCTGCAACCTCTCTGAGGGGACGCTAGAAAGTCTTGAATCATCCCAGTTTTTCCTCTCTTTAGCCGCCCAAGATGCGCGTTGACCTATTTACATCCACCAATAATAATTATCCAACATCACTATCGTGCTTTAAGGTTTCACAACAAACAAAAATTAATCCCCAGGAAAAATGGGATTAATTTATTCTCTTAATTACAGCTTAGAAAGAATATTTATTAAGACTCGATCTCCTATTTAATTTCTCCACTTTCAAGACATTAACAAACAGAGATGACATTTGCATTAAAAATAGCTTTTGCATTTTTTTTATCCAACCTTAACATTAAACAGTAAAAAAAATTATTCGAATGCATACGGTCCCCTATTAGTAAACAATATGTAAATCTCAAAAATTAAAAAAAAATAATAATAATAATAATTTTTTTTATAAATTTATGATTTGTTCTAACTTTAGAGGAGTAAATTCCCTTATTCTTAAATTTTATTAAAAAATAAAAAAAAATTTTTTTAATTTAAAATTTTAGTTTTGCAATCCAAAACAAATCATTATATTACCTTATATATTTAATATTTAATATTTAATTATTATGTTTTTAGATATTTTAATTACAATATTTTTATAACAATAAAATACTTAAAATTTTTAATTATCTTTTTTTATTACACTTTTTAAACCTTTTTTTTTTTTAACTGCAATAACAATACTATACTAGCATTTATTTGTTTGATTGATGTCTTTTACGGCAACGACTCTATGTCCGGTGCCTGCATGTTAGATGACAAAAAGTGGATTGTTCACCGTGGAATTTTCCTTATCCTTGGCAAATTTTGTCTTGCTACTAGCGATTTTGTAGGCCTATAAAACGTTGTTGGTCCACAGACCATCGCACGGCTCTGATCAGATTGCGACTGTTCATGCTCATTTTGTAGGCCACATTTTGGGCTTTAATGGCTCGTGAGATCGTCGTTGCCCTTATGCTGTAAATGGCGGTTTTTTTGGGCTTTATAATACCGTATAGGCTTTTCACCCGAAAATATTTCCCCTTTTTTTTTTTTTTTTCTAATTATGGAGGGCAACCTCGGACCATATAGGCTGGAATTAATAATTTTTGGACCCTTTCGAGTTGGATGAAACTAATAAATAAAAGTAAGGTTGTGTGGCCTTAGTAATAAAATTTATATTCCATACATTATTAATACATAAATTTTATATACTATTAATAAATTAAATCATATCACTTCATTAATGATCAAACATAAATTTTTACAAGTTTTTAAAATAAATAGAAAAAAATTTAATTTTTAAAAAATTATTTAATAATAAAATGACATAATTTGATTTATTAATAGTAAATATAAACTATACACTAATAATGTATTAAATATAAATTTTGAAAATAATATTATAGTAATTGCATAATATTATGTAAAACTAATAATAAACAAAACCTATATCATGAATTCACTTGTTTAATATTCTTTATGTCTGATAAATATGATATTAAAATTAATAAAAATGCAAAGAGAAGAAAATGCATTTTCTTAATTTTAGCTA